ATAACTGAATTTTCTATAACCCCCCCATGGAATTTTATACAGGGAATTTATGTCAAGATCGACAAGCTGGGGTTTTAAATCTATTCTTGAAAATCCAAATTACAGGGCTAGAAGGTCCATGCTCTCTACTAGCGCCCGTTATTTTTACAGAGGGGGGGGGACGTACCCCTAATTTTTCGGAAAGAGTCGTATCCCCCTTCCTTAAACCGCCTCTTCACATTGTTGATTATTATTCCTTATTTATTCCAGTGTACTATATGGTAGAATTAGCCTATTGCTATGTTCAAACAGACTACTAATAGTTCACACCAACCCAAATATTACACGATTCACGAGACAATACTTTAATTAAACGAAAATTGATATCAATCGATTATTATGTCAAAGTGAATGAAAACTAAAGTAGAACAGACTAAGGCAACGACGACAGGTTGGGCCATAAGGTTTTATTTGGTTTGCATGAAAAGAAATCTTTTTGGAAAGTAAATACTAGAAAAAATAGACTAAAGACCCGTAAAATGAAGACCAAGAGATATATTCGAAGATCTTCATTTTTCGGTATCACAAATTGTGCATTCCTTGTTTTACAGATTATGCATGCAGGCATTATTGTGCTTTCTGAAATTATTTATTGTGCAGTAAAATTGCTAAAATTCACTTCTGAAATCTTGATTTATGTTAATCTATATTTAAGTTAAATACAAATTTTAAGTCTGTGTTTGTAAACAAAGGGAGTCCACTGTCTGTTGTACTGTGCACTCCGTAAAGACCAATTTATATATGTTATATATGTTGGGACATAAAATGTCGTCATCCAACTACGAGTTTGGCCCACTTTATAGTATTTAATCACTTTGTTATTATGTAGATTGCAGGGAATTGAGTTACGAGACTACAGGGTGTCCCACGAAACATGACAATAGCAACACGACTTGAAAGTCGTCTTTGGTATTTGAATTTATTTGTGACATTTAGTCTTCTATCTACTTTAACATGTATGATTCTTGAAACAAATATCACATAATTCTCCTAGCCCTGGCATTTCCAAAAAGTGGTCTGCATTTTTTGTGCTTTCAATATTACTGGAGATATAAAGAGTTTGGTTCAGATTTCAATTTTGTTAAATAAAAGCAAAATTGTCGAAATCTGAACGAAATTCTTCATATCTCGGGCAATATTGGAAGCACAAAAAAGGCAGACCACATTTTGGAAATGGCAGGACAAGGGAAATTTTGTGATTATTATTTCTAGAAATTTACTTCTAAACTTAGGTTGAAAAATAAACGCAGCAAATTATATCAAAAATCAAGACGACATTCAAGTCGTCCTGCATACTGTCATGTTTCGTGGGACACCCTGTATCTGACAGAAAACCACTATTATTCCACTCCTCTGGGTACTGTAGAGTGTAGATCATCATCGACTGATTCTTGTTTCTGTCCAGGTTGACCTGCTCACCCTGGTCGGGAATCCCAAATTTTGCCAAAATACCAAGTCCGTTGGAAATACCGATTTCTTTCGCGTCAGGTTAAAAATAGATTTCACCCGCTAGAATATTTACAACAGAAAATAGGGATACATATTTTATCCCTCACGTTTGGAGTAAAAGTAGCTGATATGGAATTAAAGGGATTATTTCTCAGAATTATACAGAGATAACCACAAAACTTTGAAATAGGAAGTCAACCTTATAACAAAACTAAGTGTATTTGATGTTGTTACAAAGAAATCAGTTTCACTAGAAAGTTATTAAATCACTTATTAAGTGAAATAGGTGTACCATCTGTGTCCCAGACTTATTGGACTATTTAAAGTCATAACTTAAGTCTAAAAGTCGTCTTTCTTTTTCAGAGTTTTCTGGCTATCACTGTACAATGTATATTATTTTAAAAGAGCACCATGGTCCATCACATGAATGTATGGTGGATACGTGAAAGCCAAGGTTCACAGTGTGGATATTCACAGTTTAGTCATCAACGCCCCCGGAAAAATGATAGAAGTTACTCCCCCCTGGATATTTTCTTAAACACGCGCCCCCTTTGTCATGCACATACATATGCATTTTAAGGAAAATTAACTTTTTAGTTTCAATAAAGCATAATCATATTTATCATATTCTTTTAAGGATTTAAACCTTCAGAATTGTGGGTTTACATCTTTGCAAAATTGAAAAAAGTTCAAGTTTGCACATTGCAATCATAACCGCAGATAGATAAAAATATGCAACATTGCAATGCAGGGATGATATAAACTCCTGTTTACTTTGGAAAGGTTTTATGAATTAAAGTACTGCAATTAATCGCCACAAACTTAAATCTTGTAACCCCTATATCTCTGCAACTAAAATTTGTTCACCACAACTATGATGATGAAAAAGTAAAGAAGTTTTAGCATTCTAATGTAAGCCATTTTTAAAGTTATTCAGAAGAAACCACAGGGGGGGGGTTGAACCCTCCCCCCCCCTCCTCCCAATCATGATAGGGTACAAAGTTAAATACGTTTACGTATAGTTTGGAACAGTATAAGGTTTATCAAGCCCAATTCAGTTGGTGCAATCAACATACATCACTACATGAAATAAATTTAGAATATATTAACTTTTTAAATTTCTGGTGAGATCCACAAGGTTGGAAATTGATGTAAATTTAAATATATTCGATAAAAAAAACTTTACTTCCTAATGAAAAATAATACTATAATTAAACATAAGAATATAGGATTTTACTAAATCAACCATTAAATACCGTATTGTTGAGCACACGGGTTTTAGTAAATGTTATTTCATTTTATTCTGTAAGATCAATTCGATTAAAACCTTTTCTGTCACCATAATTTCAGTAGAAGTAAATATTTCCATTTACTGATAGCGCCGATTGAAGAATTCATAACTCTGATTGGATAATGAGATAGATAGAAAGATAGATGTCACCGCCAAACTATTTCTATTGGTTCAGAATAGACATCAAACACATGAGTGAACCCTGAATGGACTCGGCATACAGGATTGTATAGTGCAGGTTGATTTTAATAAATATCCTAAATCTTTATGGATGCTAATTTTAAAGTTAATTTCATGGGAAATTTCAGCAAGAAAATTTTTCTGGTTCACATATTTCCCCCTCATGAGCTGCAAATAGTAATTGTTTCGAGTGTAAGAGGAGGGAAACGTCGTGTTAACGCAGAATATGATAAACTAGACCAATTAGTTTTCCAACTGTTTGTTTTAATTGCGTGTTCTTCAACTTATTGTTTGGGGGTGCAGAGCCGCCATGAGCCCCGTGAAATAACCTCCGGAATCCTTGTGATATGTAGAACTGCTTCCATGCCCCACAACCGTCTCCGTGCCTCTTGCATTTTAATCTCAGCTCGCTGTGTTTATTTTCATGGTTAACCAACCAAAAATCAAAATACATCCCTTCATAGAAGAATCCAGATCCACAATAGTTTAAAGAAATGTTTAATCCACAAAGTTAAAATATTAATTTATTCAATTGATTTTAACTTGTTTAGAAAACATAAATAGCAGTCTTAATCTCAATTAAAATAGACTTTAAAACAAATTGTTTATGGACTATTTTAATGTAGAATTTATTTGAAAAAAATTGAGATTTTAAAAGTTTATGAAAAAGCGGAAACGGATCAAAATTATGAGGTATAACGGACCAAAACTTTGAGGAAACTGATCTAAAAATTGATGCACAGGAAGTCTTAAATAAACATTCAAAATCGAAGGTAAAGCAATAAACACTCAAATTGTATTCCAAGTTCATTGATAACCATTCCTATTTTAATACTCCTAGTTCTCAAGATAAAAGAGAACTCAGAGCCTGCAGAGTGAATACTAGAACCATAGAGTCCTCAAGATATAAGAGAACTCAGAGCCTGAAGAGTGAATACTATAGAACCATGGAGTCCTCATGATATAAGAGAACTCAGAGCCTCCAGAATGAATACTAGAACCATAAAAAAATTAAGTTTCAAACACCTACACTTCTTTAGAAAATCACGAAAACACTTTTTCAAAATTATAAACATTAATATCTTAGTTAGACTTTATCAGAGAGAGCATATTAGAGTACCTTTGTGAATCGGGTCTTTGTCATTTTTGCACAGAGGGGTATTTGACAATACGCTTACAGTCCCTTAAAGTACCACTTTATTGTGGGGCGCCCTGTAAATCTACTGGGAAATAAAAGCAAGGAAACATTAATGAATATATTAAATAAATCTTAAACAATCAAATTTATAAAATCACAAGAGGAAAATGCAAATACACTAGGCCATATATATTTATATTTATAATTACAATGATAAAAGGACTAGTGGTTGGAGAGGGGTGGATAAAATACACTAGGCTATATATATTTATATTTATAATTACAATGATAAAAGTACTAGTGGTTGGAGAGGGGTGGATAAAATAAATTCTTGATAAATGACATTATTTCTTTAAAAACAAAGCGATACAAGAAGTATAACTTACAATTGCAAAATAATTTGTTAAATAAATCAATTTACATTATACCATGCAAACTGAAAGCTTTAAAAATAAACTTTTTTGCCACTGAAAGTCGTCTTTTCCTGTTTTTGAAAAAATTTAAATCTTAAACCAAAAAAAAAATAATACATAATTTTAATTTTTCCGGTCTAAACAAAAAACCCAAATTAAAAAGTGTTTTTTAAATAAATCAGAACTTTGTTCGCACTTTTGTGCACACTATTCAGAGTTTGACCATCAGCATCGTCTTTCACACTGATTAAGACGACATTTAACTTCTTTTCTTCTCTCAGATCTTGATATTTAGAAGATTGGGATATAGTTGTCAATTTTAGCCCTGAAATGAAAATTAATTATTATATTTCAACCAACGGAATTTTAGTTCTTAGAGGGATTTACCAACTCTACCATGAATTGTGTAAAAATGAATTGCGTAAGAAAGTGAATTGCATAAAGAAGTTTGGGTAAACAAGTGAATTGCGTAAACAAGTGAATTGGGTAATCAAGTGAACTGTAAAAACAAGTGAATTGCGTAAAAAAGTGAATTGCAAAAACAAGTGAATTGAGTAAACAAGCTGATTGCGTAAATAAGTGAATTGGGTGAACAAGTGAATTGGGTGAACAAGTGGATTGGGTGAACAAGTGGATTGGGTGAACAAGTGAATTGGGTGAACAAGTGAATTGGGTGAACAAGTGAATTGCGTAATCAAGTAAATTGCGTATTCAAGTGAATTGCGCAAAGAATTGTGTACCTGTGCCTCTGAGAAACACACTCTGAGATCCACACAACGTTCCTGCACTCCTGCTCCTTCAGCTTCAAGAAGGAGTAGAACACACCGTAGTGAAACTGCTGCATGAAGGCGTACACGTTCAGTTTCACCTGAACAGAATATTGGATCAATTAAAAAGAACGCTTTCATTTCCATTTTTTTCGAATATATTTCTTTGTACTTCTTAGTGTTTCTTTTGACCACCGTAGGAGGAAAAAATGTTATAATTCTTGCAATGACTCACGAAAAAATTGGACCAAATCAAGTTTTACCGTATTGACGCGGTTTATATTGAAACAAAAAAAAACAGATAAGCCAATGAAATATATATATATATATATCAATATATACATACATATCAATATATATACATATATTAATGCATACAATATTATTTACGCATTAAACCAGTGCAGTGATTAGAATGCGGTTCCGGATACGTTGGATCCTATGTTAGCTAACTGGATCCGGGGAGTGATAGGAGCGGAGAACACATTTAAATAAAAAAATCACATTGGATACAGCATTAAAATTTGATACAGGATTAAAACTAAAGATAAAAAAACAACATGTCAGATGAAGGTTATCGAGAAGTAAATTGAAAAGGAAGTACTTCAGTGAGCCCCAGAAAACTGCACATAATAGGTTTGTTTACATTACACAATTGCTGTGTCTTATATTCATTAAACTATTTATAATCTAATCTAAGTTTTCCGCTAAAAATATAGCAGATTGAGCATAAAAAAATATCTGTTCAAATGACAAACTGATTAAAAGTAATAAGTTAGTCTAAAAGTCGTCTTCTTATTCCAGAATTGTCTGGGTCTCGTTTGAGTTAGTTTATTGTTTAAAGATTTTAGAAGGTCTAGACTTGAATAAAAAAGTTTATTTGAATGTATGCTTTACCTCATATTCGAAGAATTTATCTTCCAATGTTTTTTCTCCCGGGTTGGTTCCAGCTCCTTCAAAACATTGTTTATACTCGCTGTAGTACTCAGCAACCTGCCGAACCTGAAGTAATTGGTCTTTTTAGAAACCATCTTAGTAAACATACAAACCCAGCCCACCAACCCACAAACCTACCCAAAGATATATATTCATATTATCCAGATCCTAAAATATTCAGATAAATATTCATATTACCCAGATCCTACAATATACAGATAAATATTCATATTACCCAGATCCTACAATATTTAGATAAAACCTTTCAGCCAGCTTTTTTTCTTCAAATTGCAAGAGGTTGAATTTTTTTTTATAAAAAAAACCTAATCTACGATACTTGACAATCGTTGTTTAGGCTACTGACAAGAATTGTCTAGATAGGATAAACAAGTTGAAGACGACTTCTGGACTAGCCTCTGCTCCCAATTATATACTACTATTACTGTACGCGGCCCGGTCCCACATGTGTACTGCACGTGTACCCTCCTTACTCTCTACCTGTGTCCGCCTCCCTCTCCTACACTCAGTCTACTTTCAACCTCCCAAAGTTACCCTACTACTACTTTCTGCTATTCTCAAAAGGAGAGTATTATTTTATAACAGCGTTATTAGCTAAGTTTATTCTTCCACACGCCTGAAGATTATGTTCCTTTTATTCAGTTATTATATTGTTATAAATTCAGTTGGTGATTAAACTTGGTTTTTACTTAGTTTTATTTGGTTTCTATATTGTTATTTTATAAATTCAGTTGGTGATTAAACTTGGTTTTTACTTAGTTTTATTTGGTTTCTATATTGTTATTTTATTAATGTTTCGACCATCTAGAATTTAACTTTATGATTATTTATTATTATTTAATAACATCTTATGCTTTATTTCTTCTTTACTTAATGAATATTTACTATTATTTGTTAGCGTCTTATATACGTTTATTTTTTCATGAATATCTTTTCATCAGTTAATCCTTTATTCTGCCTGGTTCATTAATATACTCTTACTTTGATTTATATATAATTTTTCATTTAACAACTCCTGCTTTCAAACTTTTCTCTATTAATTCAACTAATTTATTTTCTATTTGACTTTTAAATTTCTTACTTTCTAACTCTTCCCTTTTTCAGTCATGCCTCCAGCTCGGACGGTAATCCGTAGCAACACTGGTTTCTCTGATCCGGCGGATCTATCTCTACGAGTACTGAAAGATCTCTCAGTCGAAATAAGGTGAAAGCTATTAATCCGAGGCAGTTAAGTCTTTAATCGATAACTATTCAAGACGATTAAGTGTTTAATCGGTAGAAAAAGCTAACTCGTACTTTTGCGATCTGCCAGAGAAGACTTTTTGATCGGAGTTATCTAGGAATAAATTTAATCCGTCCTGGAGTACAAAATATAGGGGATTAATTCTTTCTAACCGGATCAACATTACACTAGTTCTGGCCTCTGGACTGTTCAAAGTAAATAATTTTTAAAAAGTACTGTACAATACCACCCCAAAAAATGGAAATGGTCTTTTTAACACAATACAACGATGTTTAGTAGGCTCAAAAGCCTGATCACACTTTTTTTTAAGGATACACCCCGTACAATGTACATAATACGAGGTTTGAAGTACAAGAAAAGTGTACACAAATTACCTGTTCGTTGATGCAGGATTGGAAGAAAGGAGCCAGGGGAGTATCAACTAGTACAGCGTTGTACAGTTCAGCAGGAGTTGAAGCAATATGAATAGCTTCCATCTAAATAAATGAGTAGCATGTTAACTGTACAGTATATATCGTACAGTATTCAAAGTGAACAATGAACATGGTTCAGAGAACGATGTACGAACGGTGTACAAAGTGTACAGAGTATAGTTTAGAAATTTAAATGATTATTCGGAGCAGCATTTAAAAATATAATTTTCATTATTTTTTTCTTCAGATTTTAACCTATTGAAAAAAAAATAGAAATTTACTTTTTCAATAGGTTTTGAATTTGATAGATCTATGGGGTCAGAGTAAGAAAACTGCAAATATGATTTTAATTTAATTAATTTAATTTAATTTCATTGATCCAGAATAATCGCTCCGTACTATGTATCATCTGGACGTCGATTAGGTTCCGCCCTTAATTTCTTAAAGTCTTAAACAATTTATCATTTTTAAGCGCTTGAGGACCTGACGGAACCAGATTACTCCAGGAGAATCTGGAAACTACACACATGTTCAAAGCTACCAAGGACCTGACGGAACCAGATTACTCCAGGAGAATCTGGAAACTACACACCTGTTCAAAGCTACCAAGGACCTGACGGAACCAGATTACTACAGGAGAATCTGGAAACTACACACCTGTTCAAAGCTACCAAGAGGATGACATTTTCCGACCAATTCAGCGATAGGACGCTGGTGCAGGGTTCCTAAATAGTCAATATTGTAAATAATAATCTCTTTAACAAGATAACGCAATTTTTAGTGACCCCCATGCATATATATTATATAAATTTGTAATATCTGAATGATTTGTCTGGAATTAAATTAAATTAAGTACGATCCGAGTCTAACATTGCAAATATCTGAACTTGTACGGACGCTACATTCTTCGGTATGAGTGGTTTTTTAACAATTTTCTCCCTCTAGACGCAACAGACGGAAGTAAAATCAGTAGCGATCCCCATCGAATATTTTTCGACATAAGCCTTCACCCTTCATTTTTAATCCCTTTTACGCTTTGTATAATTAAGAATAAATGAAATATCAATGTTTTAAAAATGAAAATTTATTATTTTTAATTGCATAAATGAAATCATTCTAACCTGTTATGAGAAGAACAATGTTATCGATCATGTATCCGTAGGTAATGTAGTCCAGGAAGGTGGCCAGCGGGCCTAAAAATCATATCAAAAATAATTTCCATAATAACCAACGTCGAATATAAAAATATCAAATATTTAGGAAACATAGTTCTAGTGAGGTCTATTGAGAGAATATCAAACTTATTATTAACCAGGGTGACACAGAGATATGTGGGCAAGTCGGAGCTCAACACTGTTTTCAGTGTATTGTAGCCTGAAGGTCAAGATATATTGTCTGCAGGTTGATAGTAAATAATAATAACAATAACTAAATGCTAGAATATGCGACATTTTCTACAACGAGTTCTATATGTACAACTGGAGTATACTTCAAATCACCATGACAGCTACCTTAAGAGATATTTATAAATCCTTTTGATATGAAATACAAAACCTTCAAAAATAAATAGGATTCATAAATTTTATGTTTTATGTTAAAAGTTAAGAGCGTTTCTTTAAAAATTGTGAAACTTAACCCCTGGGTATTTTATATGGAACAAGTGGATGTAAGATGGTAGTTGTAAAACCCGTTGTAATATGTAGCATGCCGTGCCGGCTCGACTACAGGCCGACACGCCAGCCTGGGAAAGCTGATAAACAGTCTGTGTATATCTAGTCTTTGGTGACACCTATTGAGGGAATATCAAACTAATTATTCACCTGAAGCCTGGTTTCTCATGTGCTGAAACTCTGTCACAAACTTCTCTCTGTCACAGGGAAATTATCAATTAAGCAATCAAGATTAGTTTATGTTTTTCCTTTAATTATGGAAAAATAAAAAAACAAAAAATATTGCTTAAGGTGCCATGACCAGAAGAGGATAGAGATTAAACATTTTACAAGATGTGATATTTTTAATCAAATGGATTAAATTTCGTCCCTGAGTTTCTCGTCAATGACGGACACTTGAAGTGAGCTCTCATTAGCCAGGAAGTTTCCGTAATCTGTTGACTAAATATGGATTATTTTTCTAAAAATGCGAACAACAAACAAGACGGTCAAAGCAGGACGATTTCTGTTAAGATTGATGCCTTTTAAGTCACCTTTGACCGTAGAAATAGTTTGCGGCATTCAGCAGAGGTAAGGTAACCTGAGATGGAATTTTAAGAATTTGAGCCGCGGTTTAAATCCGCCAAAACCCGGTTTAAATTTAGCGCCGGCTTAAATCTTGAAACATTTGATACAATTTAAAGTGGAACCAACCATATTTAAGCCGCGGCTTAAATTTAAACCGCCGCTCAAATTCATTAAATTCAGCCACTGATTTAACATTTTTTATGAAACAATCATCCTGTTATTTTTGTGTTTTCATGATTACCGCAGATATGCATGATTTAGTTCAGAATGAGGCATATTCATGGTTATTATTATCAAATTGAAAGTTATCTAATATTCTTAAGATACAAAATTAATTAATAATAATTATTTAATTAATCTATAAATTAGAAAAAATCTGCAAGCAAAGACGACATCTTAATCCATACTTTCGAGGATATAGTAGAACTTTCGACACAAATATTCCCAAAATGTGCATTACTTAAATCCCTAAGTTACTATTGTTTCATTAAAAAGATAAACAAAATTTGTCATAGATTTATAGAAGTATTATTCAAATTTTTTCGCTTCTTATATTCAGAGTTGTATAGATTTTAAGGGATCCCTACAAACATTTCGTCTCCAACAAACCGACAGCGAACATATAAAGTCCAGAATTAGATACCCGCCAACCTTGCCCCTGGCACATAAAGTAGGTAACAAGGTTTCCCGGGGATTTAGGCACTTTCAGAAAAACAAGTTTACATTGAGTTCACTTAAAAATGAATCCATTTAATTTTAATGCGGATCCGGATCCAGATTCTGGATCCGCACTGAAAAAAATGGATCCGGATCCAGGTTATTTCTTAAAGATTTACTGAATTTTTTACAATTTTTTTTTTTCAAATTTTTTGTTTTTTATCTTCGCTTATTTTTATCCTTTTGAACCATTCAGAAATGAGGAAATTTTTTATAATCTCTCTTTTTCAAAAGTTCAGATTTAGGTTTTAGGAGTAAAGTTTTTTTTGCAGTTTTTTGTTGATATTTTACCCCTTGGATCCGGATCCGTGGATCCGCATATTTTTGCAGATCCGGATACAGGAAGCCAAAATCTTGCGGATCCAGATCCTAAGCACTGGCGGAAAGGGTAAACAATACCTATTTTCAGATTGAGCTAGTACATTAGTTCATGCTCAGTAGAGGGAAAGTATTATTATTATTATTATTATTATTATTATCATTAACATTCACGGTATAAGGTTTCTGAAAGTCGTCTTTGCTCAAAGGAATAGAGGACAATACAATATCCAGAAAATTGTGCAGTGTCACCCTGCACCTGAAGATGAAGCTTAAGATCCTCCAGAGTCTCACACTGAACCAGGTTCAAATAATCAGCCTAAACAAATATATAAATAAATATATTTACATCTTTATCTATATGTATCTATAAATATCTATATATATATATATCTATAAACACCTATAAATATCTATAAATATATATTTCCATATCTATAATCTATATATATCAATATATTGGAATACGGCGCTACATGGAAACTAAATTTTCCCTAAGTCAGCTGAGTGCTCACTTAACTTAGAATTTTAAACCATGCTGAGAATATTTTTGTGGTTTTACGGAGTTCCCAATTCCAGCGGAAATTAGTTCCAAAACTAATAAGTGGCCCATTTTAGCAAGTTCTACAGAGTTAACTTTTTCAAGCGTAAATATCTATAACTCCAAGCTGAGTGGAACAAAAATACACCATACATTAAAACTTAGTAGTACTACAGCTTGAACAAAAAATGTCAACTATAAACCAAAATAAGTTGGAAGAATTAGATTTTGATGATTCTAGAATTCATTTTCGAACATATTCATATTTTGAAACAATTACCGCATTTTAGGTCATGACGCGTTTTGGATCATATCTTGGCTTTGAGACAATTACTCGAATTCATATCGATGTAAATTTTCAAACATTTTCACATTTACGTAACAAAACAAGTTTTTTGTAAGGTATAATTATATAAAATAAAAAAAATAAAATAAAAACAACTGTTGTTTTATAATTAGATAAAATCATTACGGGGTAATTTCCTAGTGAACAATTTTTGAACGGCATTGAGAAATCATGATAGTAATATTAATTAGATGTAATTGTGTAAAGTGCTTGAACTTCAGTCATCTGTAACTTTTATCACGAATAAAATATAAAAACTTATAAATTAATTTTATTAGAGTGTCTCAAAAATGGAACCAACAAGTGAAAGAAATTAATATTGAAGCTCATCATATCTTCATCCATTTATATTGTCAGGTATAGCTAATGTCATAAATTGACTAATTTCGTTAAATTCTGAGCCACAGAGCTGAGAACAGACTATCACATTTGTAGGGTAAATAATACAGCAAAAATTGCTGCTTTACAGATAAAATAAAAACCTGTCTTAGGATCCCGTTCTTGAACCCACGACAGAGTCCTTCAAGATAACCATTGTCAATATTAAACATATGTCCCTTCATTTTCTGGTTAAATTAATTCTGAAAAAGACAACATCTGTAAAAAGTTGTTAATTTAAATTTCTTGACACTTGCAGAAATATTCGTACACACAAAACTATACAATTAAAAACATTTGGCGAGAAGCAGTCATTATTTTCTTTTCGATATAGGAGTTTTTATTTCTCATATGACTATGAACTAAATTTTGATTGGGTTAAACAATTCATTCTCTGTTCCAATTGGTTCTAAATATCCTACTTTGCTCTGATTGGTTCTTGAGTATTAATCTACATTCTGATTGGTTTAAGAACTGGATCGATAGCTTAGACTGGAATTCAGGGGAAATCATTTTTCACTTTTCTCAGTCGTTGCTGAATTCATAATTAAACAAACGTATTTTTTTGTCAAAAACGTCAAAAATATCAATCGTTCATTAATATTTGGATTCAAAGGTCGTCGTTCTTTAAAAATTATTTTTTTTTCGAATCACTAGATGGTATATTATGATTCTAAATTAATTAATTTGTGAGTTGTCTAGTCCCGACGAACAACTTCAGTCTAAAATAATCCTTAATTTAAATCGCGGACTCAGCTCTCTCGGGGAGCTAAAAATTAAAATGGAAAGGTGTTATGAGCAGGGGAAGGCAGGCGACCATAAGCCACATATCATTTTCCCCTTACATGCCATAATATCTGATTTTGTCTTCCGACAGCCATGAGCCACAATTGTACGGTCTTCCATGCCACAGCATTGGAGTCTTCCGGCAGTTCTTACGTTATTGAAAATTTTTTTAGGGCATTGAAAATTGTAATTTTTTAAAATCCTGACGCATTACGGGATCATACCTTTTAGAAATGTTAGATTTTTTTTTAAAGATTATTGATATAATTGAGTGTTCAGTTTTATAAACTGCTTTACAATATGCATATAAAATTTTACATCATTTTATGCATCGTGGGCACCAAGACAAATTAAGAATCAGAAAAGATGAGAAAAATCACATTAACTGCCATTATCTGAGCGTTACAGATTTCCTGAAAAAATTATATTTTGCAATTTTACCGTGAAATGCAAATTTTCGGTGATAGACGCCCAATGGTGCATCATTTCTTATGTATTTATCTTTTGCATGACGTTGCTTGATTTTGAAAATCGCGTTCAATGCACTCAATTTATTATTTAAAAACGTAATTACTGCCGGAAGACTCAAATGATGTCGCACGGTCGTGGCCGGAAAACAAATAAGCTAAAATGTGGCATGGAAGGGGTAAATGTTATAGCTTATGGCCGCCAGCCTTCCCCCCGATCGTTAGGTCTGATGTTTTCAAATTTTGCTGAGAAAACTGACCCTGCTGGGAACCGACTTAAGTATCCGAATTAATGTCGAGCAATTTAAGAAACATCTAGTGTTTAAAACTACCTGTGCGTTTTTAAGGATTAAAAAGGGCTTTCTTATTTAACCATGCCCCCCCCCGTCAAATCCTCCTAAACTGACTATTTTAAAGACCTGATACAATTTCAGTTCAGATAACTCCTTTATCAGTTTCCTCTAGGTCGGGTTCCTCTCAAAATTCATCGTCATTTATATTTTATAATTTCATTTATGTGATATAAATTCAAGAACGTCTATATATCTTCTGTAAGGAAATATGAAATTGAGATATTTAAAATAAATTCAGCGAGAACCAGAAAACTCTGGAATAGGAAGTCGACTTTTAACTCAAGTTATGACTTTACGTAATTTAATAAACATTAGACACAGCAATTGTGCGGTTTAATTCTATGCGAAACTCTGTGATCATACTTTGTAAAAATCTCATATCGCTTGGAAGACTTGGAACCAATAAAGACTTGAATAAAAATAAATTGTGCAGTTCAAACCGACCCATTTCACGAAACAACTTTCTAGTAAAGCGATTTGCTTTGTAACATCAAAGTCAATTTTTATTATTTCTCCCCCAATAGCTGATTTTCGCCCTCAGGTTATGTGGGTGAAATCCTTTTCGCGGATTTTTTAGTACTACCCTTCATAGCCAAAAACCTGCGCACACCCCTGAAAACCTAGCAAAAGCTGAAGATACTATAACGATGTACTTAAATGAACAAAATAATAATTAACTTTTTTATAATAAACGAACTTTTTTGAAAATTAAAAGTATTCACTCATAGGTATCATCATTTAAGAGAGGAATGGCCGCAGCGCTGGCCCCCTAGTCTGTCCCAAGGATGTAATGCAAGAAAAGTTATTTCAGAGGTGTACACATCTTTTGTACTGCAGTGTACTGTCTCTGGGCGGTAATGTAAACACAAGACGGATGTCAAAGCCTGACATGGGATCCATCTTTCACATAAAAAAATCAATGGAATATTCTGGTCAAAGGAAACTATTATGTGAATTATCAAAATTTAATGCTTTTAACCTCCTCGGATACTAAACGAACACTGATGGATCTATTCTTGTTTACAAATTCCGCCCAAAGAGAACTGGTTTCAATATGTACGCAGAGTATACACGACCGCAATTAAATTTCCTTGCATTACACCCTTGCAGAATTATTTCAGTTGAAAAATTTTTGTTCATAAGGACTATAGTCCTTTATAACGTTAGTCCAAATAAACATTAGTCCAAACAAATGTTAGTCAAATCGATATCAGTCCAATTGATACAAACACCAAGCTGATGAAGAGGTTTAGCGCAAATAATATTTTAGCTATCCCTCAACATTTATATTTTTACATTTTTTCATATATGTGCAACCATAGAAAACTTCACTAGGTGCCGTGTAAAATTGATATCACTGATTTAATGAGAAAAAACGTCCGCAAAACATGCAATTCCAAATTTAACAATTTTCTCTAACTACCTCGAATTTTCGAACCGTTGGATGAAGAAAACTAAGACTTTCATCTAAATAATTTTTATAAAGTATTCATGTGATACTTTTTATAACCTATTTAAGTTGAAATGCAACCCGGCCTCGTCGACTATCCTCTCAAGATTGATAGAAAATATTTCTACATGAAATATTTATTTATCTCCTTGAAAGTACATAAAAAATATTTTCAGTAGGAATGATTTAACCAAGCATATCTAATGATTAAAATGTCTTGGAGACGATTCCATCCTTCTTAGCTAGACGGTTTATACAGTCATCGCTCTCACCCATACGCCTGGAATATATTGTTGTTAGTTCAGTCAATCACGCCTGGAATAGATTGTTGTTAGTTCAGTCAATCTGATTCATTAAGTCTAAAGAATCTGTGAAGTTGGGCATATCAAGTCTGTCGGATCAGTCAAGTATGAAGGAGCAATCTATCTAAAGAATCAGTCAAGTCTAAAGGATCAGTGAAGTCTAAAGGATCAGTCAAGTCTGGAGGATCAGTCAAGTCCAAAGGATCAGTCAAGTCTAAAGGATCATTCAAGTCTGAAGGATCAGGGAAGTCTGAACGATCAGGCAAGTCTAAAAAATCAGTCAAGTCTAAAGGATCAGTCAAGTCTAAAGGATCAGTCAAGTCAAAAGGATCAGTCAAGTCTGAAGGATCAGTCAAGTCAGGATCAGTCAAATCTAAAGGATCAGTCAAGTCTAAAGGATCAGTCAAGTCTGAAGGATCAGTCAAGTCTGAAGGATCAGTCAAGTCTAAAGGATCAGTCAAGTCTGAAGGATCAGTCAAGTCTAAAGGATCAGTCAAGTCAAAAGGATCAGTCAAGTCTGAAGGATCAGTCAAGTCTGAAGGATCAGTCAAGTCAAAAGGATCAGTCAAGTCAAAAGGATCAGTCAAGTCTAAAGGATCAGTCAAGTCTAAAGGATCAGTCAAGTCTAAAGGATCAGTCAAGTCTGAAGGATCAGTCAAGTCTGAAGGATCAGTTTATTCTGAGGTGGGAACTTCAGTGTTGGATACTCAATACTCATAATTCCGAACGCTTGATCCCGAATTTCCAAAATGGGCACTTTTAATTTGAGGATTAATGCCTTTTCTCGTCATTTTATTTACTCTTTCAGGGTACAAATACAATACGGATATCGAATAAAGCTTAAATTAATCTGCAAAAGATCAATAACAAGTATCGATCTAGATATTCACATTACAAGAGTTACACGCTCTGTAGATTCAGTTTATTCTGTCAAATGTTAAGTAAAAATTTGTCAGATATTTGTCCTCCTTCCTCCGACCTGATAGCTCCGCAGATAGCGTAGGTTTTACTAGATCCAGTCATTCTCCCGGTTTCAGGATCAACCTCAGCCAGGTTTATCTGGATACTAGCGTGATCCTTAGCTGCTAGGATACGGTTAGAAGCACTACACTTCCTAGATAGATAGATAAATAAATAATCTGGATACTAGCGGTATCCTTAGCTGCTAGGATACGGTTAGAAGCACTACACTTCCTAGATAGATAAATAAGTAAATAATCTGGATACTAGCGTGATCCTTATCTGCTAGGATACAGTTAGAAGCACTACACTTCCTAGATAGATAGATAAATAAATCTGGATACTAGCGTGATCCTTAGCCGCTAGGATACGGTTAGAAGAACTACACTTCCTAGATAGATAGATAGATATATCTGGATACTAGCGTGATCCTTAGCTGCTAGGATACGGTTAGAAGAACTACACTTCCTAGATAGATAGATAAATAATCTGGATACTAGCGGTATCCTTAGCTGCTATGATACGGTTAGAAGCACTACACTTCCTAGATAGATATATGTATTGTATATGGATAGGTAGACATGATGTCTAATTAGCTGATAAAAAATCGGTTAGAAACACTTCACAGCACTTCCTATAGATTAACTGGTAGATAGGTAGATATCTAGATGAATAGATAAAATAGATTGATGAATACTCGAAAAGATCGATAGATATAGATACCTGGGGATGTAAAGATCGACGTATTCTCCGGCTTCGTTCTGCATACTGACAAATTATTCTGAAAATAATACAAGTTCAAATAATCAACATTGGATGGCGTAATAGTTGATCAGAAAATGCGTGGGTAATCGACCAAGCTTTGTGTTCTTCTCAATTCCTTCTTGACTTCTTCCATTGACCTCCTCCTCCTCCTCCTCTTCCTCCCTAGAATAAAGGAATATTTTTTTAAAAGAACTCTCTGTAAGCGTTGATTCAAATGACCCTCCATGTAAAGATGGCAATGCCCGATTTACTAAGTTTCTTTTAAAACCTTCTACTGATCAACAATGTGGAAGATATGGTTGTTTTCTATGGTTAAAAACGTTTAGTTCTAATAATTCCTAAATGTTTTCCTGCATCAGAAATGCTCTAGTCTAATTCATATTTGATTGAGCCAACAAAGGTTTTAAGGGTACAGTTACAGGGTGGCCAAAACTTTTTTTTGAACAAATCCGTACATTTTCAGAGGAAATCCGTACAATACCCACCCTTCCCTCAGCAACCAATGATGTTCCCTCTAACAACCTATATTCCTGGTAGTAAAAACTACTGTAGGTATTTGAATGCTTGGATGAGAATCCGGAAATAATGAAAAAATAAGATCAACTGAAGAAACTCAACTTAAACTCAATTTTAAAAATCCATTTATCTTTGCAACCTGAAAACCATTGGTTTTTGAAACGAAGCCTAACTAATCTGGCAGAATTCACAGCTTATAATAACAAAAGTCTACCACATAAGGTTGCAAAGATATAAAACTTAAACATTACTATTAAACACTAGAGAGACTAGAGAGCTGGAAAACTAGAGAACTTGAGAACTAGAGAACTAGAGAACAAGAGACCAAGAGAACAAGAGAACAAGAGAACAAGAGAACAAGAGAACAAGAGAACAAGAGAACAAGAGAACAAGAGAACAAGAGAACTTAGAACTTAAAACTAGAGAAATAGATAACTAGATAACTAGATAACTAGATAACTAGAGAACAAGAGAACAAGAGAACTAAAGAACTAGAGAACTAGAGAACTAGAGAACTAGAGAACTAGAGAACTAGAGAACTAGAGAACTAGAGAACTAGAGAACTAGAGAACTAGAGAACTAGAGAACTAGAGAACTAGAGAACTAGAGAACTAGAGAACTAGAGAACCAGAGAACCAGAGAACAAGAGAACCGAACCAGAGAACTAGAGAGCTAGAGAACTAGAGAACTAGAGAGCTAGAGAACTACAGAACTAGAGAACTAGAGAACTAGTTACCCCAAAAGATTGAGATATAAATTTTTAAAAAGTTGATACGTTGCATATTCATAAATCTGCTTAAGAGAAAAGTTTTCGCTGTAGGAATTCATGATTGTGTATAAGGAAAATGCTTCGAAGCAGAATTTCTATGGGAATTTTTTCCGATCAAACAAATATAAGTATTGGATAAATACCTTCTTGTTCTCAAACTTCCTCTTGTTGTTCTTGTTCCTTGCTCTGTGGTTCTTCAGATCTTTCAAAGATTCAGAAAGAAACTTCTCTTCTTCCTCTCCCTGCATCAAAATATTATCTTAATTTCTTAATACAGAATTCATTTTTGTTGTGGAACTCCGTTTTTCCTAAGGTTGCATTGATCAAATCGAAATCGAAATCGAAATCGAAATCGAAATCGAAATCGAAATCGAAATCGAAATCGAAATCGGTTTAAATTCGTTAATGAACATTGGTTTTAAAGTCTAGACCTTTTGGTGTAACTTGTATCAAATAGGTTTGAGTACACAACCAAATATGAGCTATGTTGCCATATTAAAGCAAACATTAATTAGGACTTGTTAATCATATTTAACAACAAAATGATGAGTGCTTCCCCTGAAGACTTTGATAACTCAAGATATAGATTTACAGATTTACAGATTAACAGATTTACAGATTTACAGATTTACAGATTTAAAGATTTAAAGATTTAAAGATTTAAAGATTTAAAGATTAAAAGATTAAAAGATTAAAAGATTAAAAGATTAAAAGATTTAAAGATTTAAGGATTTAAAGATTTAAAGATTTAAAGATTTACAGATTAAAAAATTAAAAGATTTAAAGATTTGAAGAATTGAAGTTAAAGATTTGATGGGGGATTAAAAGTTAAAAACAAGAACAAAAACTAAGCTTTAATTGTGTAAGTTTAATGCGATTTATCCTCAGTATTACAAAGTGCTAACTTTGTGATTATCGATTATCCTATTTGTAAACAACGCTGATATGTTTTTAAATAAAAGTTTAACAAGAAGAATAACTAAGAATTTTTAAATTTTATTTTTATTCTTTCTACGCGGCAATGTTGAGTAGGACGAGGCGAGGGAGAAAGTTTGTTAATAATATTTGAAAAAAGACAAAATATTTCTAATAATTTATCCCATTGACAAGTACAAGATTCAAAAATCAGAAATTAACCAACAAAAAAACCCAGATTATCTAAAACAATTGAGGTTTCTATATCTTGTATTAATATCTACCTCGAGGATTGAAGTTTTGACCTCCATCTCCTTTATCACAATCTTCTCAACCTTCGCCATCTTCTCCATCAAACCCTTCGCGAAGTTCTCAACCTTGAACCGAATCTAAAACAAAACTAAGTTACTTTACAATCAATCAATCAATCAATCAATCAATCAATCAATCAATCAATCAATCAATCAAGCTAAAAAATTGTTGCGGCTCTAAAATACAAAAATAGCGAGATTTTAACAAGCAGACTAACTTTAATTACTTGGTTCAAATAAATTTTGCGGCGCTACAGATTAAACTTAATCAGTTAAAATATGCTTTGTTTAAATTTTCGAAAATAAAAAGTTTTGTCGCCTAAACCGATTAAACAAAATAATTTTAAAAATATTGTTTATGGGGGGGGGGGGGAATATTCTTACCCAGGCCTCTGTCTCTCCCTTCTGGTATGTAATGAAGGCAATATCTCCTAAATCCTTATCAATATTTACTCCGAACTCCTCCGACGACAGTTTCTCCTTGATATCTTCCCTAGTGATCTCTCCTCCTAATCCTAAAATAATTATCAATTCAGACGGTTCCGATCAGTGCTTAGAATCCATTTAATTTTGATGCGGATCCGCCCTGGAAAAAATGAATCCGGATCTAGGTCGTGTGTATTTCTTCAAGATTCATCAATATTTTGAACAAAAGAAAGAACACAATCAATGTTAACAAATCTGGCCACATCCCCTTTATAAAACTAGTCACAAAAAATTGGGGATTTTCAGAAGTCCTAAAAAATCATCAATAATACTTCTACCCTGTTACACAAGAAAAAGTTACAATAATTATGATCTTAAATAAGCTTGTCTATTAATATAAATGATTTTATCAATGGTTTCACTAGTATCAGCGCATCAAAGCCAGGTGTTCTCAACATTCTTAGTCATTCAAACATCTGTCAGTATTTGAGTAAAGATTTAACCTGTAATCTTGATAACGGTTCCTACGGGAAGTTTCTGCTCCTCCTTCACATCTTCTTCCGTAGCATCTTCATTCTCATTCTTCTCTCCCTTTCCCTTCTTCTCTCCTCTCTTCTTCTTCTTCTCCTCGTACTCCTTCGTCTTCTCTTCCAGGTAATCCTTCTGGAACTTCCTAATGAGCTGGACCTCCTTGTACTCCTTCTTCTCGGCGTTGACGAACTCCTTGCAGGCCTCCTCGCTACGGAATGTGAGGAAAACTGAACCCTAGATGTATTACGATTTAAAAACTAAGAATGTCTAAAAAATTTTCTCATTTCGACCCCCCACCTTCCCAAAATCAAACAATGAATCTTATGAAAGGGAAAATAAACAAGTTTCTCAGTTTAAATGTACAAAAAAAACTTTGTTTTCAAAACAAAGTCTTAAACATTAATTTGCAAAAAATTAATAAAACCTTTCTGGTCTCAATTTCTCAAACTGGAAATCATTATTGTTATCAGCAGACAACCCATTATTCAATTTAATAGGAGTCGACGCTCCTTGTCACATTTTAATAAAAAAACACCAAAAAAAAGGATAAAAAATTGGATTTTTAAAAGTAGAATCTAAAGCAATGAAATAAATTGAAAATCTGTAAAATAAACGTTAAAAGGGGTAAAAAATATAGAATACAATAATTACCTTGAAATGTTTCTGTTTATCAGCTTTGTCAAAGTAGTTTCTCATCTAAAAACAACAAAAGAGTTAGAATCTGAGCAGTGAGGACTAGGTACTAGGGAGGGTAAATATTTTATTAAACAATCAGGTATTGCTAAAATATTAACCTGAATATGAACAATAGCAGGTTCATGTTCCGCGTAATATTCAAGGAGTTCGTCCATTGTCGTCTTTTCTTTGTCAAACCCTGCACAAAACAAGAGTTTTATTATGTGTCTGATTCATAGATTCATCTGGATAAACACTGAGAAGTTGTGCCACCTAATCTACCCATCAGCCACTATACCCTTTATAAACATTAAATCTGCCTCAACTTGAATCTAATGCCATAAAACAGACACAAATAGTAAATTATAGCCGTTCCTTTCAATCTGCTTAAAACCTGTTGACAGGGGTGTAATATAACTGTATATTTATCAGATTTAACCAGAAAAAAGATTCACAGAAATTGTGTGGTGTCAAAATCCTAAAAATAAAACCGAATCCGAACCAAGCTAGGTGTATACTTACTATTCACTCCAGATTTAGCGAGAACAAAAATCCCCGAAATAAATCTGTTAAATTAAAATGAACGATTATTGATAAAGTGACCTTTAGCATACGCAGTTTTGGCTTCCAGAAGCTTCTTTGCCTCCTCTGTGTTCTCCGGGAGAGGGTTGGCGGGAGATCTACGGAGACGTCCATCTCCCTCCATATCTACCTCCATCAAACCTGAACAATCAACTTGTCAACCCAGTTTTAAGAAAGTTTTAGGAAGTTTTAAATAATCTGTCAATAGGTAACAGAGATTTTTACAGATAAGTGAAAAGAAGACTGCATAGTCTTTGGTGGTGTTAGGTACTTTCCAAAAGGTATTTTTCCAAGGGCAACTTACCAAGTGACAGCTTCCAAAATGGGCAATTTCCTAAGCAGCAACTTTATAAAGGTTAGATTAGGCCTTCCAATGCGCTACAGGCTGAAATGGAAAGCGAGCGCTGCGACTGGACAGGTTATGGGGCCGAGCTCTGCGGCAAGGACAGACTTGGGAAGTAGCCACTTGGAAAATTGCACAATTGGAAAGTTGCCACTTGGGAAGATGTTGCTTAAGTAAAGTCCTTTGGGAAAGTATCTAATATCGTGTGTTTGTTCTACCTGAATCTGACTTCTTGATTGATGCAAGGATAGTTTTAGCGTCTGAGCTAAGATCTGCTAGCCGTTTAAACTTCAGTAATGTTTCCATCGTCACCCAGCCGTCATTCTCTTTCACGGATTCCTAATCAATAATCATATTATACAACTGTTCAGCGTCCAACGATCTCAATATATTTTAAGCGAAAATTTATTTCTAAGAAATATTAAATTAAAGACTTAAATAACCTGGAGGAATTTGTCCCTAGGAAGATTGTAGTCTCCGAAATAGTATTCAAGCTGTCTAAAAAAAAAAGATTTTTCAATTAAATTCTAATTTGTCATCAATATTACTAAAGACAGGGAAGTAAATAAATAACTAATTCAATCATAAATATTTAAAAAGCTCCAAAAATATAGGTAGTGTAGTGAAAACATTTCTCCCATTTCTAAAACAGGGAAAAGAAAATTTCAATATTTATTTTTTACATCTATAAAATAATTGGTGGTGGATTTTAGTATTTTTCAACGAAGATCTCAGTTATAGACAGTGCTTAGGATCCGCAAGATTTTGGCTGCCTGGATTCGTAAAAATATTCGGATCCACGGATCCAGATCCAAGGTGCGAAATATCAACCAAAAAATACCCTTTTTTTATTCACTAAATCCAAATCTGAACTGTTCAAAGACGAGATAATAAAAATTTCCTTATTTCTGAATAGAACATCAAGGTTTAGCATAAAAATAAGCAAAAATTAGGACAAAAGATTTGAAATTCTGCTTTGTGAATCATAACATAGATCCACGGATTTGGACCCGGATCCGGATCCTTCTTTTTCAAGTGCGGATCCAGGATCCACATCAAAATTGAATGGATCCTAAGCACTGGTTATAGGACTATGAAGTGTAGATTATATAATGTTTTAGGTTTGAAGGAAATGCAAAGAAGGAGCAGCGCATCGAGATTACATGTATGCATTGTGAGTGTGTAGCTTTTCTAACTTGAACACTAATAAAGTTGGAACCAAAATAACAAATGTTGCAGTTTTCAACCAAGCATTGAACGATAATCCTTGTTATAAAAGGATTGTACGAAGATGAGATCTTCAAGAATCTTGGGACAACCCAGACCGCATCACAGCTGTATCCGACCCTTACTGGTAAAATATCATTGCAACAAGATAGAACAAAATTGCAGCCGAACAAAAAAGATCTACCTGATTATCTGTCGATCTAACTGGGTAATTTCTTCGGTCACCGCCATTTTAAGTTCTGAAAAAATGTTACTTGAGATCAGCGGCCATTTTGTAAAATTTCAGCTGATTATCAGCTCCACCGGAAACTATGTGTCCAGGCCGCCAATGAGAAGCCAGGATTTTGTCTGTGTGTCCCTGAAGGTCGTAAAGTGGAGTTCTACAACTGCGCGTGTCCCAAACCCTAAAGAAAATGACGATTAGCAGATGAATACATTAATAACAATCAAAATATGGAACGCATGAGTTATTTTCAATATATATCAACATGAGGAACCTATTGAACATTATAAAAATTTAAAGAAAAAATGTGATCAATAATGAAAAGATTGAACTTTTTTTGGTCTTGTGCTAAGTCAACTGATAAAAACTTTTGTGTGGATATAGTTAATCTTGAACGCTTCATCTTGATATCCAATTTGGGAACTTTTAAATTCGAGGATGAATGCTAAATCCAATATTGAAAGTTGTCCAGGTATAACCATAAGGGGATATTGACAAGTAATTAAATTAATCCCTAGATCGGCATAAGATGGAGATCAATGCTTGATCCTGAGAAACATAACACTAAAGTTTTGATAGAAGAAAAGGGAATAACAGATTCTTCAAATTCCGGGTATGAAAAAAATGTCTGGGCTTTAAGGCATTGATCTACGTCATATTGGATCTTGCATCCCTCTACATTCGAATGTTTGGGACACACAAGAAAATGTTGAAACAATTATATAAATGATGATCCGGGGTTTATATTTCCTACGCTCTGGTAAAGACGGAAAAATAAAATTCAAATACTAAGTTTTTTTTTAATCTTTTGTTAACAATTCATATATACAAATTCAGTTTATTACCCCAAATCCGGCGGATATTACAATAGAAAAATATTTCCGCTCCAGGAAAAACAACCTAACATCTGGTAAGGAGGAAGGAAATACTGTTAATGAAAAAATATACATCTTAATTACAGTTTTGACGCTAACTTACTTCCCATTATAATGTAACCAAGGAACCAAAGTTTTTATTTAGGACGCATTGTTCTTAGTTTACAAAGTTACCTGAGAGTAGAATCATGAGATGAGGACGCAAAATGTATTGGTGAGGTGGGAGACCAGTTTACGGAGGTAATCCAACCAGTGTGTGCTGTGTAAGCTGCTTTTACATCATTCCCAGCTCTTGGGTCGTACAGGCGGACAGATCTCTCCGCCCCTCCCACTAACAACAACTCATTCCGCTCTCCGCCCACAGACACACTGAACAGTGCTTTATTGGCCACAAGTTCTGTTTTAAGACCACCCAACTCCAGCTCCCATATTTTGATGGTATGGTCCCAAGATACGGAAACTATCTCCCCGTTACCCATCCAGGCCACGCCGCCGACCGCCTCCTTGTGCCCGCCGAAGGTTTTGAGCGGTGTTCTTGTAACAGCCCTGCCGGCGCTCCCACGTGATTTCTTTGCTTCTGTACTTCCCTCTCGGTCATCTTCGACAGCAGGAACAGCTCCCCAGACCTTCAACGTGTTGTCAAAACTACCAGATACAAACACTTTCCTGAACACAATAGAGTTAACAAATATTATACATAATTATTATTATTAGCAGAAACCCCTACATTCAATGAGTTAGTGGTCGACCGCTCCTAGTCACCGGAGGAAGGAGACTTATGCGGTGATAAACATGATTTTAAACCAAAGAACTTAAACATAAAGTTGTGGGCTTCTAACAAATTTGTTTTCAACAAATATTTTTACACAATGATTATTGCTTAGGTTTCGAATCAAAGACTTCGGCATAAAACTATTAGATATCAAACGGAAAACCGGAGAATGAAAGCATGATCTCACACGAAGTTATGGTTTCGGACAAAACAATGTAGAATGAAAATAACGTTTCAATCCGAAATTATTCATTATGAAACCATGAATCCAAACTAAAATTCTTCAGCACAGTGGCGGACATAAGGGGGGTTATTGGGGTTATTTACCCCCCCTAGAATCCTGGGGGTAAATACCCCCCCTAGAATCCTGGGGGTAAATACCCCCCTAGAATCCTGGGGGTAAATACCCCCCCCTAGAATCCTGGGGTTAAATCCCCCCCCCCACCCTAGAATTCTAGGGGTAATTACCCCTGAACATATTTTCAGGCCCTGAATAGCAGGGGTTACTCCATTTGCTGCCNTAGATAATCAACCAAACATTGGTGCCATTATTAAAAGCATGTGATGGTATCAGACGAGTTGTTGTACTTATTTCAGGCTTCAACCCAAAATTTTATCATATAGATAAAATTTCATTTCAGACCAAAACCCAACAAAAAGTTAAATTATCAGTCCAAAAACGTAAAAAAAAAAATTATGATTTCGAAAATATAAATTTTATTTCTGGCTTAGACCGAAATATTATGCTAGGGAAATAAAACAATTGTAAGATTTTTATTCAGAGCAGACAATCGTATAATCGTTATATATATAACCGTTTAATTGTTAAGATTCCTTCCACCTTGATCCCAAAATGTTGTCCGAGTAGAATATGAATGGTTGAAGACTCGAGTTTATTCAAAAGTTGCAAGCTCTGGTTATGTTCTTAATAAACTCCTTACTTGTTAGGACTGACCGCTACACACTCAACGCTTCTCTCATGACCTCTGCAATTATTATCATTATTATTATTATCATTTAGGGATGAAGTTGGGATCAGTGAGGCGTTAAAAAGTGTCCGGGCGTGAGATAATGCTCCTGTAGTGGGGCATTTATTGATGATTTGAACGCTTTCCCCACATATTAAATTATTTATGCATTGACAAACATATGCTGAACGTAAAAATATATGTAAACTAGTTTTTAAATATAACAAAACTTCGTCTTCTTTTCGAAGAATTAAAAACCTGAATAAATCAACTTCTATCCCTTGCACATGCAAAAACTGTGTAAAAAATTAGCCGTTGTAAATGTAATCAAATCAATTTAATATATTTTAATATTTTATAAATACGTCGACACTCGACAGCCCCTTTTAACGACAAATTAGTCAATCAATCAAACTCAGAAATGAAAATTCAAAAAATTGAGATTGTCATGATTCGTGCAGCTTATTAATGAATCAAACAAATAATTAATTTGCACCATATCAACCAATTCCAGGGGTGCATATTGGCACCGAGAGTTAATTTATTATCATAATATTTATAAATAGTTGTATATTGCATACCTGCAAGTATTTAAGTTCTCTATTGAATTAGTTTCTGAGTTCCAAGTATAAATATTTAACTTCTGATCATGAGATGCTGAGACAAATGTTCCACCAGTTTCTGTTCTCTCTATCCAGTCTACAGCCTAGAATAGTAGAGATTCAATGCTAACGATCCATTATATATATATATGTCAGCTATAGCTGGCTAAACGGCTGGGCCAAATTGGCTGAATTTTTTTAAAGGCAACACATGGATACCCTGGGTAAACATAGGCTAAAAAAAATCGAAACATTTTTTCTTTAAGATTTGATTTTTTCCAAATCATTTTTTTATTCCAGGGGCAACGACCGGGACTTCAGTTAGGTATATATTATTATATAAAGGGTAAATCTAAAAAAACCACACATAATACAAATTCTTCTCTAATTGTTTAATGCATTATGATTTAAACAATTTTATTGGATATATTTCAGTGGTTACATATATATTTAAGTATTTGGAAACTTTTGGTAGTCTTTCTTCTGGATTTGACGGCCTTCTTTGTCTATAACAGCTTGCAGTCGGTGGGGCAGAGATGCCATCAAATGTCTACATAGAGCCTTATCATCGTCAATCTCTCTCCATGCTGCAATGATGGCTTTCTTCAGCTGTTGGTCATTAGAGCATTCTTTTTCAGCAACCTTTCCCTTAAGAATACTCCAAACATTTTCTATTGGTCATAATTAGTGATTTTTTCTTGGTAGATCCACTATCACCTGGTCCCAAAATAATAGCTTTGCGGATTTTCATCCATTATTATATTTCTTAGTAATAATCCAAAAAATCCGTTTTGTGTGGTTTTTTCAGGTTCACCCTTTATATACCAGTCACCCCCCCCCCCCAATGATTTTTGAAGAAAAAATTGTGCAAGTGGTCTGTTTAATAAACTGGAAAAGTTTGTTATTTGTTTTCAAAAACACAACTTTTCTCTTACTATAAGGCAAATGGCTGCTTGTCGTAGTCCTCAGGTATATTGTAAATAGTTAAATGTTTAAAGGGACTGGTATTAGTTTAATGTTTAAAGGGACTGGTACTATTTTATTGTTTAAAGGAACTGGTACTAGTTTATTGTTTAAAGGGACTGGTACTAGTTTATTGTTTAAAGGGACTGGTAATAGTTTATTGTTTAAAGGTTCTGGTACTAGTTTATTGTTTAAAGGGACTGGAACTAGTTTATTATTTAAAGGGACTGGTACTAGTTTATTGTTTAAAGGGACTGGTACTAGTTTATTGTTTAAAGGGACTATCGTTCTAATTTCAAGTGACTCATCATTAAAAGAGGAAGATGTCCTATTCATAAAGATACGACGGAGTTCATTCAAAAAATGTTCTCTATTGTTTCTGGAGCAAGAAATGCACGATTGATGACAGAAAAAGTTTTTTTAAGTGTCAATTGGTACAAGTCCTTAAATAAATAAAGTTTCACTTGAAATTACGACTATAGTCCCTTAAAAATTACATGTAGTGATTTTGTTACCTTTACAGGTCCCGTATGTCCAGGAATAACAAGTTTTTTCTCACCACTTTAAATCAATCAATCAATCATTTTTTCTAAGAGTCTAGCTGCTAGGATGGACGGATTGATGGTTGTGTCATGATGCTAGGAAGGATGGATGAATCATGATGCTAGGAAGGATGGATGAATCATGATGGTAGGAAGGATAGATGAATCATGATGCTAGGAAGGATGGATGAAAAAATGACTGAATGAATTCCTGATGCTCCAAATATTAACAGTATTATCATAACAACCAGTGAGAACCAGGTCACCCTCTATTCTAGAAATTTTTTTTGGAATATCAAATCTTAAATATTAAATCATAAAAATATTCTCACCAATCAGACCAACTGCAACACCTTGTAATTTGCGAAATTCAAACATTTTCCATTACATCTTAAGTTGACAAAAGAGCTAAACAACACAAAACTCAAATCAATAAACAACAAAAAATAAGATCAATTTTTTAATTGCCGACGCCCCCCCCCCCCCACCATAGTAAGATTAAACACCTGCAGGCGCTAACCCAATCATCATGGTTCGCGGCATTTTCTGGTTTAGGAGCTTCGCACTTCTCAACATACTCCAGAACTGAGCAGAAAATAATAGATAAAAATAAAATATGAAGATCCATATTTAAATAATAATTTTTAGTTTCTGAAAGTTTCATAGAACAAAAAAAAACTAAGCTTAAGATTACAAAATTGCTCTAATGAAACCTTCAGGGCTGCAAGAAAAGTATATGATGAAATTAAAATACAATACACATGCAAAGATAGAAATGCCCGATTTACAAAGATACCCTTTAAACCTTTGACTGATGATCGAGGCGAGTATGAGTGAAACGGAAATGTAAGCTAGCGTACAGTGTGAACGTAACAGAAGTGACGTTACATGAAAATAACGAATATGCTACGTCCCAAGCGGGATCATAACATTTTGACTGCTAGAAATTAAATTGTAATATTTCTTAACTAGCCTGCAAATCAAGTAATTAACAATTAATGGTATTTTCGTAGATTAACAAGGATCGACATCATTGATCAGTCAAAAGTTGTGAATCGGACATGTCACCCAACAAATAAGGAGTCAATTGAAAAAAAGCCAACAGTCACTTTGATAAATGACAAACTGCATTAGCAATTATATCATTAAATGAGGAATGAACATTTGACAGATGATAAATCTATTTTTTGGAATAGCATGATTTGGATCGTCTTGTGAAATATTTCTTTTAAATATTTTAAAGTTCTTCGGAGATAAATGTAAAAAATAACTTACCAATAATACTTTCAGTTGATATATCATCGCGGTCACTTAAATGCTCCGAAAGTTTCCCTCGAACTATAAAAAATAAATTCTTTAATTTTTGGAAATTATGCAGACAGGAGGTTTATACTTTCCTACTTGGAATAAGATTCCTCCCGAGCATCAGGGTATTGGGAAAATTCCTAAATCTTTAGTTTAAATAAATGCAAAATTCAATTGGGTTAATTGGGAATTAAATTAATCCGTAGATCTGTATTAGATGGATAATAAAAAATCTAGTTCGCAGATGATAATGAACTAGGATACCGGTCGGATACAATGGAACATATTAACAGCCTACAAACAGCTATGAATAGACTGATAAAATGGGCTGACAGTTGGTGGATGAAATTTAACGTTAGAAAATGTAAAATTATGCATATTGGGAAAAGAAACATCAAACATGTATACACAATAGGTGGTCTACCTCTACAGGTTGTAGATAATCAACCAAACATTGGTGTCATTATTAAAATGACAATCTAAAACCTTCATTACAATGCGCCCATGCTTCTAGGAGAGCATCAGCAGTTCTCGCCCAAATCTCAAACCATTTAAGTACAGGGACAAAAATATTTTTCTTCAGTTGTTCAAGCAGTTTGTTAGATGTCACCTGGAATTTGCAATACCAGCATGATCACCTTGACTAGTTAGCGACATGAGATTTTAAAGCGCGTTCAGGAGAGAGCTGTAAAAATTATAGTTAGACTGAACAACAAATATTAAGAAAAATTAATTGAACTTGGCCTGACAAAGCTTGAGATCCGGCGGAAACGCCATGATTTAGTGCAGACATCAAAAAATTCTTAATGGGTTTGACCAAGGCAAATCGTCCATTTGGTACTGTTGATGATCAGCAAACTAGTTTGATCAGAAATACCTCCTACAATAAGAACCTAATTGCGACAAGATTTAAGACAGATATAAGACGAAATTTCTTTTCCCTCTGGAATAATATTTTCCAATTGATGTGAAGCGAGTCCAGGAATGTGACTAGTTTAAAAGCTTAACTAGAGAGGATTGCCATTTAAACTACTTTAATGTGCTAATAGGAACTGTGCTATGTAGCAACCTGATGAATAACTTAACGGAGAAACCGCACAGTTCCCAGAGGACACCAACGACGTTTGCACCATGCAAACCACCACATAAGTAAACAAGTAATTGTTTGGGTAATTTAATTTTTTTTACGGCTATATTTGAAAATCTTATAAAAATATCATTTATTTCTTACCAATATCATTAAAGCATATCCAGTCGAATTCAGGAACATAATCAAAGTTAGTTAGTAATCCCTTGACCAGACTGTTTAAGCCTTAGACACCAGACACTAGTTGATGTCAGGTGAACAATCTGATGAAATAAATAGAAAGTATGTTGCAATAAGTTTCAACCTAAATTTCGCTTTAAAATATTCTTTTGTGTAATTTTACGATGATTAGTTCTCAGTCTAAAATGAAATTGTAAAATTTTTCAGATTTAATATTTTTTGTTGTAGAATATTGTAATCTTATGAGGAAAAAAATGTATGAAGGGAAATTCTTAAACGAGATGAAATAATCTTGATGTATTCTTTAACGAAAGCCTTGATAACACTAGTGAATGCCTGCAGGGTCTATGGTGTAGGGAACAGAAAAAGGAGAATCTTCAACACCAAACACTTTCAGTTCAGTTTTCAGCCTACAAATAGTTCAATAAAAAAGGTTTATAAAAATATTTATATTAAATGTATGTTCTTTTCTACGTTGAGCAAAAATATTTTCAAATATCAATTCAGATCTGTGGGACCATTAAACTATTAAATCGGAAGAAGACGTACGGTTATGATGCGGATCCGGGTCTTGGATCCGACCCGAAAAAATGGAACCGGATCCAGGCCGTGTATACTTATTAAAAGTTTGCGTTAGAGTTTTAAGATAATTCCGATTATGAGCAATAGAGAAAAAAATTATTTTTTTTGTTGATTACCTAATTTGAACTTCTCTATCATTCTTTTCTTTTTCCGGCATCTTGAGTCTGAAGAGTATCATTTCTTAATTTTAAGAGAAAAAGAGGAATAATAACAAGAGAGCACAAGAGTGTCTAGAATTGACATGACGGTCAAATTTTAAAAACTGTTAACTATCTAACAACAATGTTAACAACAACAATATAGATATCTTCAGGGCGCCCCAAATCATAATTGTTTTTGTCCAAGCTTAAACATTCATAAATCGATTGATTTATCGTCTCATTTTTATCGATAATTTCAAATTTTTCAATTATTTGTATCTAAGAAATTCCAATGCTTTGTATGATGTGGGACACCCTGTTGCATATATAATTATGGAAAAAATTACACAATCACCTCAAATTTTATGAATTAAAAATGAATGGGCATTTTTCCGATTTAATTTGAGCGGATTCAGAAAGATAAAGATGACTAGAACGATAGCGATCACAATAAGAACTAGAAAGAATGGTATCAATTTGGAATAATACATATGTTAGTGAGAGATTAAAAATGTCTTAATAATCATTTTTTATTTTATTTTTAATTTTCGTTTCTCAATAAATTGTTTGTTTCTTGGTAGTTCGTTTCCTAGAAGTAGGAAAACTAGTCATTTAAGAACCAGAAAATTTATTGAGAAATAATTAGATTTTGCATTCTTAAAATAATAGACTTGACCATTTAAAATGGCAGATAAGCTTGATTTTTGTTTCACAAAAACTTACATTTATTATCCATAATAAAGTGACTTTATCTACAATTTTTTGTTTTCTTTGGTTTTAATTCTTTCAATCTAAATGAAAAGAAAGGAATGTTATGATTTACCCCGGTAAATTAGAAGCATCTTATTATCTGCTTGGTGGCACTAAAACACTAACTTTTAAATCAATCTATTTTTTAGCTCGTCTAAAATTGATAAACATTCTACATTTACACCTGCACCAGACCCTCCTAGCACTGCAGTGGACTGTGCAGAACATTATTAAACAAAGAAATTTATGCGAGACAATTTTTTTTAGAAAGATTTCACGACACAAAATTAAATGCGAGAATAATGGGAAAAAAGCCGCGTTTTAGTGTTATGAAGGAAAAGAAGTGCGTAGAGTTTCATTTTAATGATTTTAAATGGTTGATTTAAATATTAAAAAGACGATAAGTGATAGAAGTAATTTACATAATGATAATAGAAGGAAGATTAGATTACAGGAATGCAGAATCTTAAGAATTCCGTTCCCGCCCTTTAAAAGTGTACGTATGTTGTACACTGTACAGCGCTGGTGTATACGTAGGTCTGGTGGATTAATGACGTCACTGGAGTTTATTCAGTACATCCTGAACAAAACAAAACATTAAATAAAATCAAGGAGAATTGAGTACAAGGAGGGGGCAATAGGGTTTCAGTACACTTTGCTGTGACGCATTTGGACTGCTGGAGAACTAGTTTTTGCGTAACAACAATAATAAAGGCAGCCGATCTAATGTAAACAAACATGAGTTAGTATACGGTGAATCTTCATCTAACACCAATGTCTGTTTATCATTTGTGTTATTGTTTACAATCTTTATTATTGTTATTACGCAAAAACTAGTTCTCCAGCAGTCCAAATACTCATCATCATCATCATCATATCGTTTACCTTCAGATTTTGAATACCGAAGATTCCTGAAGATTTGCCATCCTGTCCAAGAATTGGATTCCTATTTATAAAATAAGGGTTTTAATAATTTTGAAATTGTGCAATGTCAGATCACTAAAGAGACTGTACAAGCGAAATCTAAACTGACCCTTCATGCTAAAAAAAGGGAATGCCCGATTTCAACGGTGCCCTTTAAACCTTAGACTGTTTAGTGAGTAAGGAGAGCTGTTTGTTCAAATATGTTGAAAACCACTGCTACGCGGTGTATGCTGTTTAGAGTTTAACCTCGTCACAGCTAGCGTTACTTGTGTAACTTGACATTACCGAATATTAAAAACTGTTTCCAAAAATTCAAATTCTAGAAAATGAATATTATTATTTTTAACTTAAAAACTACTTGAAAACTAAGTATTTTAACAATAAAAGCGTTTTAGTAGGTTAATGACGCAAAAATAAGTCTGACAACACGTATCAGTCGAAGGTTTTAGGGGTAACGTTATGAATCGAGTATTGCTATCTGTACGTGGAGGGTCACTTAAAGGGAGTGACCGGCTATGTAAGGTAGTTGAACTGAGTATGCAGTGCTGTGGAAAACTTCTTTCGGATTCATTTGAGACATAAAACACTTTAAAGATCTGTAAATCCTGAGTTTGAGCGCAAATTCGAAGTTCAAAACTCCTACTTTGGGGTGACTACGTTTTCAGAATTAGTTGTTTAAAATTATTAAATAACGACGACATAAAATGTAAAAAAAAACAACACTGCATACTCAGTTCAACTACCTTACATAGCCGATCACTCCCTTTAAAATTACACTTTCAGTTCCTTCAAACAAAATCAAGTTTTTTGTCTACTACTAAATCTTCAATAAAATTAATTAAATAATCTAATGCTAATTCCACAATCAGTAAAAATTAAGAAAATAATCTAGTGCTAATTCCACCATCAGAAACAAAATGAACTCTAGTGTACCTTATCTTCTGAATTTCTTATCGGCTAATTCATACCTGATTTATACCTAAAGAACAAATAAGAAAAGAAACAAAATTGGAAGAAATAAGAAAAGGGAAGATAAATATGCATAAGAGATGAAAAGGAAACGAAAAAGAAACAAAAAGAACAAAAAAGAAAAAAGGAAAAAGGAGCTAAAAGTAAGGAAAAGATTAATAGAATAATTCTCTAAAACCAAAATAAGATCTGTTTAAATCAAATTAAGCTGACGAGTTCCTGGAATACCAAATATCAACTATAATGAAACACTTTTACAACAACCAACAACCAACAACCACAAATGTTTTACCTTTTCAGAGTTTGAATTGGAGCTCGGAGTCTTCGGAGATCTGCCTCAGCATTCATAATTCCCTGATACAATTATAGAATATGTTTTGAAAAAATTTTAATTTGACATCAATTGGAAAGAGTTTTGATATTATATATTACATAAATCGAAAGATTGTTGAAGATGAGGGGGGGGATGATATAACGTTATTAAAATAATTTATTTATCTCTAATAAATCTTACTTAAATCTTACAAAGAAGAATCTTTGAATTGTTACTGATGAGAAAAAACGCAATGGCCAAATCAACTTATTTTTAGTCGAAAAAAAAATAATTTTTCTGAAAAAAACTTGAAAATAAGATAAAATAATTAAGATGTTGAGATGTTTTAGATAAACTGAAATGAAACCTTTCTGTATCAAGATAAAAAAATTAACAAAATTACTTCGACCCATACTGTTTAATGTTTAAGCTGAAGCAAAGCGTGTATATTTTTAAGATGATTTCGGGGGGAAAAAATAAAAAACGGAACTGAGCACCAGGGAGGTTTCTTTTTTCTATTCGATACTTTAAGCCGAAAAATCATTTAATTTCCATTAAAATTCATTTATTTTCACCAATTCAGCGTAAAAACCATAAAAAAACTTATATTTTTATTTAGTATATACCTTTTTGAAGAGCAAAAATTATTTTCTTAAGGGGGGAGTGATTTTTTAGGTAATAAAATATACACCCCTGTCCAAACTAATGATCACCACATGTTCTCTTGGACTGAAATTTGCAACCCNGCCCTTTTTTCAGTCTGATTTCCAGCACCCTGGGAGCTATTTCATCACCCTGGGAGCTATTCCAAAACCCAGAGCAGCCACCCCTCCTTCATTGAATTATCGTGTTATAAAATTCAGAATAAAAAATCCACCTTTTTAAGTGAGTTGTATTTATTAACGTCCCAACGGTGTTTGTCAGCCTTCTTATGGAAGCTCATCAGCCAGGTTCGTTTCGCTAAAATTTTACTTACTTAATTCTTGTCATCACAAACATTTGTATCCATGATCCATGATGCGTTTCCGGATCCTGGATCCGCACTGGAAAAAATGGATCCGGATCCATATCCAGGTCAGAAACATTTCTTTAAGAGTTTTTTTTAACAAAGCAGAATTTTATGCTAAGACTTGATGAACTATACAGAGATCAGGAAACTTTCATAATTGGTCTTTTTTCTTCAGTTCAGATTTCGGGTTTAAAAATAAGTTTTTTTTACTAAGTTTGAAACTGAAAAAAAACTTTTTTACTCTCAAACCCTAAATCTGAACTGATGATAAAAGAGAGATGATAAATGTTTCCTGATCTCTGAGTGGTTCATCAAGTTAAATAAAAATAAGCGAAAAAAAAAAGAAGAATAATTTGACAATTCTGCTTTCTTAAACAAAATCAGAAATCTTAAAATGAAAAGTCCATGGCCTTTGTTCCGGATCCATGTTTTCCATTGCGGTTCCAGGATCCGGATCCATGTTTTTCCAGTGCGGTTCCAGGATCCGGATCCATGTTTTTCCAGTGCGGTTCCAGGATCCGGATCCATGTTTTTCCAGTGCGGTTCCAGGATCCGGATCCATATTTACCAGTGCGGTTCCAGGATCCGGATCCATGTTTTCCAGTGCGGTTCCAGGATCCGGATCCATGTTTTCCAGTGCGGATCCAGGATCCGGATCCATGTTTTCCAGTGCGGTTCCAGGATCCGGATCCATGTTTTCCAGTTCGGTTCCAGAATCCGGATCCGCATAAAATTAAATGGATCCAAAGAAATGCTTTTAAAGTAGAATAATTATAATTATAATTTCAATAAGTTAATTTCATGAAAGATCAGTTAAGGCATCAAATACCTGAATTTAATGAAGTAATTCAAGAGAAAATAAAAATAATAAAAAACTGATGATGTCATAATGAGACGTCAGAAAAAAAGGACATACTAAAACACTAAGTGAAAATGTCTGTCAGGCTAACCCCACTCCCCCCAAAAAATATATACATATACTGATATACATACCGACATCGTTGTACAAGTACTCTTGCTTTGTGAGCACAAAGTAAGAGTAAGCAATGATGGCGGTTCCATAGGTCACAAAGTACGTAACAGGTTCCATTATATCCCAGCTGTACTCCCACCAGGTGAGGCGGGCCAGTACACCAAACTGTACGGACATCATACCTTAACATTATAAAATATATAATAAAGCTCTTCGCTCATGTATTTAATATTTGCATATATGTTAACTGTAGCTGGCAAAACGATTTTTTCAAAAATCATAATTTTTTAACCCTAAAAATTCGAAAAAAAATTCTACCACGATAAACGACGGACACTTCAGCTAGTAAAATATATAAGGAATAAGGAATGAGTGGATCAGGAAGATATATTTTGAGGAATTAAAATGATGATGAATAACTATCAGCAGTTTCTTTTCCCCAATCACGCATCTTTTTAACCCGATCCCCCCCGANCCCCCCATTCAGCGAATTTATTTTAAGAAACTACAATTTTCAAGAAATTATGTAATTTTAAGGTAGGGAGAGGTTTGGGGACTGGTGCAGATTCGGTTATTACCTAATCCAACCCATGTAAAGAAGCTAGTTCTTCTCTCTGCCCAATCTTGGAGTTCAAGCTTCTGATCTTCAAGAGGTTTCAGTTCATTCTTCATTGTCTCAAGATCCTTAAACATTCAGTTACACCTTTATAGAGGGGAAATCAGAAATAGTCAAGAACTCCCCCCTCCCCATTAATTTCTTCATTAATGCAGGACTTGGTCGGGGGTAACTTTTTTTATCGAATTTTACCCTAAAATTCTAATTTTGTTAAGCTCCTTGTACATAAAACCAAATTTGGTATGGGAAACTTCTTTTGAAAGGATACATGTGATATGGTTGAAGTTACACATTAATATTTTACCGACATGTGCCTACGCATGCGACATATAAAAAGCTCCTCTCTCAGCGAGTTGTATTATTAAGAACAGGGCAATACAATTTTATAACATTCAGAACAGCTCTAGAACTTAACAAGTCCTTACTAAAAAGTTTAAAATCATTCGTCCTTTATCACCTTGATAAGCTGAGCTTCCTTCTCCACGTGAAAGTCCTGTATGTTGAGAGCCTCGTACAGCTCGCTAATCAAAAACTTCACGTCTGAGATCTTCTTCAGCTCATCAGAGCTCAAGGTCGCTAGTTTAGGAGGTACAACACGATGAACAGTGTCGTTGATGTGTAGTTCAAACTCCTAAAATACAATTCATTTCCAAGTCGCCTTTTTTTAACAAAAGTTTCAATTAAAAACATCGCACACCTATCTTTTTATGTTGGTAAATATACAAAATTCGTAAATGTCGACACTTGTTTTTTCGACAGACCATAAACCCAGATATGAATATTTTTCAGAATCCAGTCTTTTTTCAAATTTTTTTTTGTACTGGATTAATATTATACCAAAGATATTGAGAATTTCGTACAGATTTAACAATGTTTTTAAATAAAAAATGTCGAAATCTAAACAAAATTATCATTTCATGAATCTAGCCCATCGTCATAGGCCACCATTTAAAAAAAGAGGATTTATATTTTTAATTTTCTTAATTTGGATTTTTAAGTCTCAATATACATGGTGACGATTAAAAAAAAGTTTTAATTTTTTCTTATTTAGGATTTCAAATCTCAGCGCTGCCAATTTAATTCACAATTTTAAAAAAAAATCATCTTTTAATCTGAAAGGATCACAATTGGCCCTCAAACCCCTTAAAGTTTAAATGTATTACATTATCTTATAAAAAGGGCATTTTATAATCTGAAACGTCTTTTCAAAAGGTACAAAATCTAGTCTCAAAGCCTTCAATATTACTGTTTAAATAAATTTGTATTTGTACATAAAATGTTTGCTTAAAAGAAGGTTTCTATGCGCCAAAAAAAAAGATTCTTATTACGAAGGTTCTCGTCTTTTTAGATTATTAGATTATTATATGTATACTTTAGAGGTTCGAACATCCGAACATCCATGGCTCGAAGATAGGAACCTTCTCTTCAGTTCAAGAATGTTTATAACAGTCAACAAAAATAATTGTGTCATCAATTAAAAAAGTTCTGTGTTTATTGTTTTGACAAGGATCAATTTATAGATCAATAGAATTGTAAAGCAGTAAGCATTTTTCTTAGGAATGGATGACGCACAATTAGTGTCCAATTGTTAACTGTCTTGTTTACAAACATTGGATCGATTTAGTTATAGTGTTCCAGATGCTTTACTCCAGTCACGTGGATTTAACGGTTCTGTCAATATTCCAGAAAGCTGTGGCTTTCGATCCCAATTTGACCCATTAAACATAATTTGTTAGCCTTTTTTATGAAATACCTTTTTGTTGGCATATGCATTTTGAATGAAAATGTATAACATAAACAAATCCGTAAAGTAAATGATTATTGAATCAAAGACCAAAACACGTTTTATTTAAAATAGAAACAGAATGCTACTCACTCTGGTTAGTCCGGTGTGCAGTAGTTCCTTTAAGTCTGTATCAATCCAGATACAACAAGCTCTGTATTCTTTAGCCTGTATCATTCAGATACAACTCGCTCTAGAACTCAATGTTCTACAATAATACCTTAGTCTGTATCAATCCAGATACAACACGCTCTGTATTCTAAGCATGTATCGTTCAAATACAACTCGCTCTAGAACTCTATGAAATGAGAAATAATACGTGTCTTAACGTAATAAAGCAAAGGTTCATGTCCAACTAATCTATATTTTGGGTTTTATACTTGAACATAGTTAGGGTACAGATAATGTTATAATTTATTACAAACATAGATTTATATACAAGATATGTACTTGTTTATTACAAAAGTATGAAATTACGTGGCAATGTCAGTTACAAAAAAATGTCAAATTTCTTTGAACATGAAGTTTTAAAAACCAGGAAAAAAAGATGTTTTGACATAGACGACACTTATCACACTATTTTTTACTCACCCTGTATATACTATGTAAGTTGTATAATTACGTTTCTGTAAATTTCATTAAGAATATAATTTTCTTTTTCAAGGTGGTAAAAATTACATACCTTGGTATTTTTTCCATGCAAATACTTATAATTTGACATCCATATCATTTTCACTTTCCATAAAGAAATTTCTTAGATAAGACATTTCATAGATGAAGACATTTCATAGATAAAGACATTTCATAGATAAAGACATTTCATAGATAAAGACATTTAATAGATAGAACATTTCATAGATAAGACATTTCATAGACAGAGAAGATTTTCGAAAGAGGAGGAGATTTTATGAAATGTAGGCCATGTCTTCCTTCTACCGCGTCAAAGAAACAGTTGTAAAGTTGCAGTTTTCCAATTTTGTTTTGCGGAAAAATGTAAATACAGTGCTCCCCATATACATTGATACAACGAAACAATTTAAAAAAGCATTACATATGAAAAGTGCTTATTCCATTTTTTAAGAACTTTAAATTCAACTTTTCATCTGTGAATAAAAGTTTTTCACTAATAATGCTTTTGTTGAATGAAAATGCTCGAATCGAGTGAATTGTTTAAAATCCGTATCTAAGAAAAATCGAAGAAAACTTAATTACGTAAGTAAAAAATCTCCTTTGTCTGTGAAATGTCTTATCTAAGGAATGTCCTATCTATGAAATGTCCTTTCTATGAAATGCCTTTCTATGAAATGCCTTTCTTAAATTTTGCCTTGTGTGTTCTTAGTTATAAGTTTTCATAATGTGCATTTACTAATTAAATAATTTGGCAAAGATAGAAGCAAGTGTGCAGCTGGAGGATATACCACTCAACCAGGAATTTAAGAAAATAAAATTCTGTTACAGATGTCCCTGAAGTCTAATTCTATACCATTTCGATGGTCTGTTTTATGTAGATTGCATATAGCGCGCTTCACCAACCAGAGTAAGAAGCATTCGGTTTCTTCTATTTGATATAATACGTGTTTTGGTCTATAATTCAACAACCTTTTACCTTACGGATTTGTTTATTCTATACTTTTTTATTCAAAATACATATGCCGACAATAAACTATATACAAAAAAGGTTAAAAAATCATGTTTTATGGATCAAATTCTAATCGAAAGTCAAAACTTTCTGAATTATTGACAGAACCGTTAAATCCACGTGGCTTGGAAACCTATCTTTTTTTAATTAAAAAAAACCTTTGCCATAATTTAGTAACTCATTTAACTTAGAATTTTAATCAAGATAAGAACATTCCCATGGTTATCCCAAATTCCCCAATCAAAATAGGAGGCAAATTGGTCCAGGGGTTCCTGAGTAACGATCGGTCATCCAAACAGACAAACAGAGATCTTACTTTATGTATTGTATATCTGTAAAATGTCCCTAGAAGGGCCCGTGGTGTACCGTCCCGGTTACTTTATGTATTGTATATCTGTAAAATGTCCCTAGAAGGGACCGTGGTGTACCGTCCCGGTTTGTCTTATACAGTCTGTATTGTGTACTATTTGCTCTTACTGATTAAAAGTCGGCCGGGTACTTGTAATGAACCGAAGTTTACAGTGATAGATTAATACTAGAATTCTATATTCTATATTTTTTATTTATTATTACGGTTTGTTAAACTTCAGCGTTAATGATATTCAAAAAGGGACAGACTGTATAGAGTATAGATTATAATGAATCACGAAACCTCTTTGCTCATTCAGTTTATAATTTATAATTTAAAGATAGAAAAAAAAACAAGAATCTAAAATATGTACTGAATAATGTAATCTCTGTTAATATTAACCCTTCGACGATTGCACGGGGGGGGGGGGGTTTTCCACCCCCCCCCCCCCCCCAAAAGGGGGGGGGGGGCGATTTATGATTTGGGGAAACAAATGAAAAATTTGACATCAAATTAATTCATTGTTTCCTTATATAATTCATTTCTTCTCCACAATTCAGCAAATAAAATACCCCCAAAAAAATGTTTTCAAAGGGAAAGGGGGGAATGATTTTTTTCCAAAAATATACACTCCTAAATTCCCTAAATAAACCTTCTGTGGGGTCATGTGAGAAGCCACAACAAATTCGGGCCCGATAGATTGAGAAGTATTGTCGACGAAATGTTAAAATGTCACTTTATGTACTTAGATATAATGTATTAAGATAAAATAATTTCAGAAATATGATCAAGAAACGACCCAGAAGTTGTATTTAGTTAATTTATTCCAAACAACTAAGCATAAAGTTTAATATGACCAAGACCGATAATCTTAAGGGAGAGGGGTATTTCGTATTAAAACGCTGATTCCAGATAAATGTTTTAATCGCGATTAAAGGCGAAAAAAGGATAGCAAGCTCGGTTTGAAAATTCCCCAATTACGAGAAAGGGGATTTTAAAAGATAGGGATCTAAGATTTTTATCAACATTGTGAATAACCTGATCAAATAATCTCTGAATTGAAGTTTTAGCCGCAATTCTGATCCCGTCGGAGTTCTTGATGAAGATCGTGTCGATCCCTCGATCCTCGAATTTCAACATCTCGATAAAATCCCCGACATTGTTCAAAACTTAACAAAAAAGAATTATGCTTAAAAAATAAATTTCACCTCCTAATAAATTATTCTTAAAATTTTTGAATAAATGTTAAAAACCCAGCTTCCTTAAACGTTAAAAAATTACATATTTAATTNAAAACACATAAAACACATGAAATACCTGGTTTCAGTGAGAAAACACACTTCTCGTTACGAGAGGGTAGAGGAACAATTATCTACGAAAATTATCTATATAAATTATCAGTGCTTAGGATCCGGATCCGTTGGGTCCGAAACATTTTTGCTTTCTGGATCCGGATCCGCTAAAATATGCGGATCGGATTCAAGGGACAAAATATCAATTAAAAACTGCAAAAAAAAGTTATTCCTAAAACTCCAATCTGAACTGTTAAAACTAGAGATTATTAAAAAGTTTTAGCAGCACAAATCAGCGAAAAAAGAAGAAAATTAATTTGAAAATTTTTCCTTTTGATAAAAATCAGAAAATCGTATTGAAATTTTATGACCTGGATCCGGATCCAATTTTGTTCCAGTGCGGATCAAGGATCCGGATCAAAATTGAATGAATTCTAAGCACTGTAATTTTTCAGTTGTTAAACTTACACCGTTGATGCAATTCAATACAAGGGAGCTCTGTGAGGAACAGGCTTAGGAACGAAGCTAGGGAGCCGAGAACTGCAGTCCAATTTTTTAAAAAGTTTTGTTGTTGTTGTAACCATTATAGCGTATATGGAATGGAAGAAAGTTTTTCTTTTTCACCAACTAAATGGGGTGAGGTTCAGGACCAAAGAAGTTTACAACAACTGTCTCATGCATGGATCCGCATATTACATCGAACCTACTCGGTTATGATATAACCCTGGCTGATTTGAGTGTTTGCAATTTTTGTCATTCAACATAGTGTTCTCCGACAACGACTGTAATTTAATATGATCGGTCGGAATGCGGGATGCCAGCAAGATGTTCATTGCTGGATTGTAATTTTAGTTGCAATTTTGGAGCGAGGTTTTGAACAGACACCCTCAGTACCGTACATAGTGACGCTACTCGTCTCATTTCTTAAGTTTCATAACTTTAAATAAACCAACCTGAGGGAGACCGTCCACAATGCTGACATCTATCTGTGTTGATAGAGCATCTGTATCAGCTGTTGCAGCAGCTGTGTTAGCTGTTGCAGTGCTAAATCTGACAGCAGAAGAGCAGTTCAGATTCCCAGGAAGTAGGTATCCCGGAACCTAAAAAAAAAAATACTCTCGTCACGATTCCTGATAAGATCAAGTTTTGACTTACTGCTTTTGTAATGGATATTAAAAAAAAGTTTGGAGGCTTTCGCGTTAAGTCTAGGTCCCAGAAGAAGAAAAATACAATTTCCTCATTATTAGTTTACCCATACAATTTCTCTCCACAACACCAAAAAACATTTAATGTTTAATCCCATCCCTTCATTAACACACAGGAAAATATACTAACCGTAGTATAAGAAAGAGAAGAAGAGGACTGAAGGTTGGGAAGATGAAAGGTGAGTTGGAGGTTGGGAAGATGAAAGGTGGGTTGGAGGTTGGGAAGATGGAAGGTGGGTTGGAGGATGGGAAGTTGATAACGCGAATTTGACAGATTAAAGAGAAGCCTGTTCCGCAACATCCTAATTAAATAAAGTTCGTTATCTTTAAATTAAAAACAATAAAGTCGCAATGAAAAGAAACAGCCTAAGGTAATTTCCTGTAGACCGATTTATGGACAAAAATTTAAACTTAGTTTGAATTAATTTCTGGGTCGAGATCTACGGCTAGCTCAAGTTGTGGGATCGGGCGCTGCGGCCACATGTCAAAACTATATCCGTGTGATGCATACAAGATACATGTACAAAATTTATGAGAGAGGGAGTTAAGCCATGCTTCCAAAAAGCGTACGGTGGGAAATTACCTGGAGCCCAGCCGCTAGCTGAAAATACATTAGAGGAAGAAAGACAATAATGACTTTATATTTAGCGTGACTATCAAAGAAAAAATGGCAAGTGCTTAGTTTTATTTCAGTAAAAAAGAATAAGGCTCATAATTGAATGCACAAGCTAACATGAAATAATTTCCTAGAGAACGATTTTTGGACCCCCCCCCCCTCCTATCAATTTTGTACATAGTTCTCATATGTAAGACAATGAAATACCTGGTTTCAGTGAGAAAACACACTTCTCGTTACGAGAGGGTAGAGGAACAATTATCTACGAAAATTATCTATATAAATTATCAGTGCTTAGGATCCGGATCCGTTGGGTCCGAAACATTTTTGCTTTCTGGATCCGGATCCGCTAAAATATGCGGATCGGATTCAAGGGACAAAATATCAATTAAAAACTGCAAAAAAAAGTTATTCCTAAAACTCCAATCTGAACTGTTAAAACTAGAGATTATTAAAAAGTTTTAGCAGCACAAATCAGCGAAAAAAGAAGAAAATTAATTTGAAAATTTTTCCTTTTGATAAAAATCAGAAAATCGTATTGAAATTTTATGACCTGGATCCGGATCCAATTTTGTTCCAGTGCGGATCAAGGATCCGGATCAAAATTGAATGAATTCTAAGCACTGTAATTTTTCAGTTGTTAAACTTACACCGTTGATGCAATTCAATACAAGGGAGCTCTGTGAGGAACAGGCTTAGGAACGAAGCTAGGGAGCCGAGAACTGCAGTCCAATTTTTTAAAAAGTTTTGTTGTTGTTGTAACCATTATAGCGTATATGGAANGAGGGGGGGGCTGGGGGGGGCCGCGGGGGGTCCAAAAATCGTTCACTAGGACAGACCCCCTACCTGTTATACACGGACGATCTCCGGTTAAAATCAACAAATCAATTCATCTGAAATTAAATTTAGTTGATTTCATTTTCATGAAGTTTTCACATTTCACAAAAATCATCTTGAAAGGCAAGATAATAAACTTGATAAATCTTCCTAACTGAATTATACCGGCAGCCTGCCTGTAGTATTAGGCGCAGCGCAGCATGGATTTATTTACAAACTACTATGCACATGTTGAAACAGCTGATTTCTAAACTCAAGCAAAACTGAAAATTTTAATGTGCGCGTGCGCAAACAAATACTTTCGGAGATACGCATGCGCAGAATAGAAATGCAGAGGCTGTTCCTTCCATGAACTTACATGATTACATTGGTCGACAACTTGACGTCTCCTATATTAGTCGTCAAGTGTTGTGTACGGAGAAATTATCTATCTATCCGATAAGAATTTAGCATGAGACATCAAGCGGCCAAGATTTCGTCCCTCAAAGTATGTGAACTACAAGACCACTATATATCCACAGGAGACGTCAAGTTGTCGACCAATGTAGTTCATGGAAGAAACAGCCTCTGCGCTATTTTCGGGTTTGTATCGATTGCATTATCTTGGATAATGGATTGCACATAATGATAGTAATAAAAAGGGTGTCCCACGAAACATGCTAGTAGCAAAACTATTCGATCTTATTTGAATTGCCTTAGGTTACCCAGGTTCTAGTTACTCAAAGTTATTCCCGCCGTTTACCCGCGTTTGGTCTAAAATTAAGATTTTAGCAGTGCCTGTGTTGCCCCTGGGATTAATTAAAAAAAAACACATAATATGTTAACCTTTAAACATATAAATACACTGTATAAAATAGATACCATGCGTTAACTCAAACTTTACGAAAGCGTTTGGAAAAAACAATTATTTTGTTTTAAATTACGAACAGAATCTTAGGAATGTAAAAATGTGTAAGAATAATCTACCATTCTGTTCAAAATTGCATACAATCTCACCTATAAGAATACATAACAAGAGCGCGTGAAACGTCGTCTTTAAATGTATTCAAACATTTATGACAATTGTAATGCTTCATCATTGGTCTGCAAAAAAGAAAGCTGCTGATCGATTTTCGCAGCTTCAAAGGGTTAAATACAATTTGTGAAATATATACAAATATCATTGTAGAGGAGTCAAGTTTTTTGTAGTGCTGCTAACTGTGTATAATTAAGGGGTCTGTGGACAGGGGCGGATACAGGGGGGTGGCAGGACCATTGCGCCCCCCTGACGGATTCAGAGGGGGGCACCCCCCCTAGAGATTTCATAATGGCTTCTCAAAGAAAACCTAGTGCAAAACAGGAAAAATATCTATTAAAAAAAATTTGGTTCCGATATAAATCTAGCACCTCCTCACTTAAATACTGTGTCCGCCTCTGGCTGTAGACATAATTTCAAGTGACACTCCATGGACAGAGTGTTATTCCCAATTCACTACTGTACCAGTCAATGCTATGTCTGATCAAATGTGAATTAGATTTCCATGTTACTCTTGTTTCTTTTCGTAACGTTATCTATTAAACTTTTGATCATATTATGGCTTTATGGGAACTGTTATGAATAGGGCATACCCTTTTTTTAATGGAGAAACACTTTAACTTACGGGGACAGTCCCTTTAAATAAATGATTCAGAGAATGAGTTCTTTGATGAATTCTATTGGAAAAACTTTACAAGTTCCCATTCTCAGGTTTGTTACATTATCAAACCTAAATAACTTTGACAATTTTGAAACTAATTTTTTTAACTTTAATAATTTATTTTTGGATAAGGGTTGTGAGCACAAGCTCATGCATACAAATAAAAACGAAATATCAATAAATCTATTTCCAGTTTGTTATCAAAGTCTTTCTATTATTTTGTTCTGCTCAAGATTAATTAAAAGTTTTGTGTTGCGCCATTGTCTTAAAAACTTGACTATGGGTAACCCTGTAAACCATAGTGAACACTTATTTTACTCAGGCTGATCTTGCTTCCTTTTTTTCCTTAGCTATTTGGTTTGGTTAATAATATGATATGTAATTGCATGAAGCGTTGATTGCCAATGACTTGTAGAAAGCTGGATTTTCAAACATAATTGAGTTATGTTCGTTTGTCCTTTTCTCAGTCAGTCATAAAAAGTAAAAGAATGAAATAAGGAAAATTTTTTTTTCCTTTTAAGAATTGATTTTGTTTCTTTTGTCTTTTCTCTTCCATCTAACCTTTCCTATCTTTTTTGTTCTCTGTGTTCGCTGGCTCCGGAAAAAATCTCTCTCAAATTCTCCTACTTAACTTTCCTTACTTACTAGTGCTATCCTTTCTGCACTTTAATTGGATCAGCCTGTGCAAATGTCATGTTCATCAGTGCCCATCATTAGTCTATTGCTTGACAAAAACACAACACTCCGGCCAGAATATATTCCCCTCAATATTCTTGTAAAATACAATAGGAAATTTTGAATTGTATAAATGGAAGAAAAGACATCATTAACTGTTAGGAATTAGTTTTAATTATTATTAAAATAACTGTAATATACATCAAAATTTTGAAACTAATTAAAGCCGAACATTTACACTTTTAAAAAGACTTCTCTGAGACAAAAAAACATGCGTCAAATGGTATTTTTTGTCAGAAATTTTATCGTTTGAATTAAATTTTACAATTTTAGCGAAACCTTAACATTAGAGCTCAAAGTTCTGACAATTTTTTAAATTGAGCTTGCTTATATATATGTGTACATCTTTGAGAACTAGCTTTGCCTCCTGGAGTTTTCCCTGTTAAATTCAACCCACTCAAAATAAATTATAAATCAAGTTAAGAACATTTCCGAAGATATGAAATCAGTTAATTTTCGAATCGATAAAACGAAAATATATCTAACACACCTTCCAGAGCTATTAATTTGTTCTCCCTTTCATTCTTCTAAAAATGCAAATTTTTCTTTATTATGTTGACATTTAAGGGATGGGCAATGGGCATTGTCTTCATTAATATCAATGAGTGGTAAATTCATAAATTTTAATTTGTCTGCATCATAATCATACATTGACAAACTATTCGCTAATGTTGGATGTCAAAGTCTACACAGTCCACGATTATGGGTTGAAATCCTTAGCTAATGGTGGATGTCAAAATCTACTACAGTCAACGAGAATGGGTTCAACCCCTTTCAAATAGGGGATGTCAAAGTTAACTATGCAGTCAATTAGTATGGGTTTAAACCCTTTGCTAACGGTGGATGTCGAAATCTACTACAGTCAACAAGAATGGGTTCAAGCCCTTTACTAATGGTTAATGTCAAAGTCTACTGCAGTCCACGATTATGGGTTCAACCCCTTTGCTATTGGTTGATGTCAAAGTCTACTGCAGTCCACGATTATGGGTTCAAGCCCTTTACTAATGGTTAATGTCGAAGTCTACTGCAGTCCACGATTATGGGTTCAACCCCTTTGCTATTGGTGGATGTCAAAGTCTACTGTAGTCCACGATTATGGGTTCAAACCCTTTGCTATTGGTTAATGTCAAAGTCTAATGCAGTCCACGATTATGGGTTCAACCCCTTTGCTATTGGTGGATGTCAAAGTCTACTGTAGTCCACGATTATGGGTTCAACCCCTTTGCTATTGGTTGATGTCAAAGTCTACTGTAGTCCACGATTATGGGTTCAACCCCTTTACTATTGGTGGATGTCAAAGTCTACTGTAGTCCACGATTATGGGTTCAACCCCTTTGCTATTGGTTGATGTCAAAGTCTACTGCAGTCCACGATTATGGGTTCAACCCCTTTGCTAATGGTGGATGTCAAAGTCTACTACAGGAACTATGGTCAACGAGAATGCTCCTTTTGCCGATTATGTATTTTTAAGTTCAATGAATGCATTGCTGAAAATATTTTGATTATTCGAGTGCTGACATATACTTGTAAATGCACAATATATGTAAATTCAGTTGAGATTTTAATATGAATAGTTTGTTTCAACAAATACCGATAAGAACAAAATTATTAAATTATATTTTCAATTGGCTCATTATATTGAATTTTCTCTTGTGTTTTGTTTTTAGCTGAACTGCAGCATTTATTATTATTTTGTTTTTTTATGTTTAAAATAAATTACTTTTCCGCTTTTCATTGAGGAGCAACTTAAACCTGGTATGTCAGAGAATATGTTTCGGGGTGGGGGGGGGGGGGGGCGATTTTATTTAGGTCATAAATTTATTTTAATATTTTTTTAAGTGGGAAGAGTACTGCAAATGATTACTGGTGTACTGCTGGAATTATACTTGCCAATACAGCAGACCAGGCAGCACAGGGCATACAACATCTCAGGTCTTTTTCTAAAATCTGAAATGGACTGTTGATATCCTTATATTTTTATATTTGAAAAACTGAAATTCACAATAGCGTTTTTTTCTTAACCCTATTCCTGCTGGAGGGGGGGGGGGTCAATTTGACCCCCCCCCCTTTAGTTTTTTTACATAACTCAAAAAGTGTTGGTCTGAGGCTGTTGAAATTTTCTGACTTTTCCTACATACTCAAAGCCCTCACTTTAGGCCTAAAACCGGGCTTTAATAATAACTGCCTGAGTCCTCAGGCACACTGCCTGAATGACTGCTTCTGTAACAAACTAAATCTTTGTTTTGACCCACTTCCACTTGTCAGATTTTGATAAAATTTAGCTTTTTGGAAAACCTTTGACATAAGGAAACGAATTGCACAAGTTTTGCGAAAAAAAATTGCAAATTTTTTGCAAACAACCTGTTAAAGGAAATTTGCACATTTTTAGTTTTTCTTGATTAAAAATCAGGTTATTTAAAATTTTGCAAAAATTTTTGCATATTTGAAATGGCATGGTCAAGGGCTTTTCAAAAATGTATAATTTATTTTAATTTTTTGGACAAATTATTTTTGCAAACATTTTTCACTTTAAAACTGGATTTTGCGATTAAAAAATTCAATTTTTGCAAATTTGCAAATTTTTTTGCAGATTCTAAAAGTAGAGCACAAGAACTTTCCAATGATGTATCATTTGTCATACTTGAACATCAAACATATGGGATTTAGAGGGGGGGGGTCAAATTGCCCCCCCCCCCAGCATATCCTGGTTTTCAAGTACCCCAGCAGAGATAGGGTTGATAAAATGGTTTATGCAGATAATTCATTGTAGAAAGATTAACGACGTTGTCTCCCATAGTACTCCAATGATCGATGATTTTGTCCGGGACTGACATTATTTATAATATTAAAGTTTAAAGGGATTCAAGAAATTGCGTCGACTAATGAATTCATAAGTAACTTTTCTAAACGTCGAAACTGTGTCAAATATTAAAGTTATATTTAAAAACGAGCAAAAAACGGTCGTCTGATGCTGGTTTTTTTCTGCTACGCTAAGTTTTTTTTTAATATTCCGACGAGAAACTGTAGTACACTTTATTCAGATTTATGAAGATTGGTCTAATATTTCTTGACGTCGACTGTTCATGAGAAAAAAAAACATAAAAACTTTATTTCAAATAAAAATTTCCAATAATCTATCAAAAATATCGTTTTTCCGAAGGCCCATTAAATTGATCTTTTTGACATTATTATAATGCAAAAATATAAATATGTCAATTTCAGCATTAAAGTACACCAGTCCAGACCATTTTTCTGATTTTTTCTTTTTTGTTTGTTTGTTATATTTAGCATGTTATCCAAAGCTGAAAGCACGATTGTCAATATCATTCTAATCAACAATTGTAGATGAAAAAGTGCCAGTTATGAATTAAAATAATGACTTCAAGTTCAATCCTATTAAGTGTGTATACCACTTAAAGACATCCATTACATTATTAAGTTGACTTGAAAATTGCCTGGAAAATATATCTTTACATTTCCTCATTTTGGGATCGCTAGAAAAACAAGATTTTTAAAAATGGAAGAGACACGGTTTCATATTATAATCAATAATAGATGCGGCATACATTTTTAACAATAAATAATCTAGACTACAGATAAGGAATAATTGGGCTGTTGGTACTTACAGAAAACATCTAGTCTACATTGAAGAGGTAAGTTAAGTAAATTTAGTCATTTTTACCCTGGAGAAAGCTACACATTTTCTTATCTTTCTCAATCATGTCCNAATCAAAGGGAAAGATTAAATTGATTCGTTCCTAAATCAATGTGCACATACAGTAATAACCAGAAAATTATGAAATAGGTAGTCGACTTTATACTTACTGTATTTGATGTTGCGACAAAACAAATTGTTTTTAAGAAACTTTCAGTGAAATGGGTCTGTTTACACTGCACAATTGCAGCGTGCTCAATGGACTTTTAAAATCTGTAACTCGATTCTAAACAAAATTTTAATTCTTTTGTTTTATATAAACTTAGAAACAACTACGATCCCGTTTTTGTTAAATTATGTTTTTTATGTACAGGGTTACAGGTACAGGTTTTTAAATTTGTTGCAACTGCATAGTTTGGCGATCCTTCTGAAATCCTTGGAAATCCTGGTTTGAACACACACTACGACGCTAATACAGTTTATATCCTTGAGCTCGATAATACCATCCAGGTTTATAGGTTCAACCCTTTCCCAAACCCAGGTAAGTGAGCCGCCTATAATAAACTGGTCTGTCCGATTAATAAATTAAAGCTTCGTTTGATCAATATAAAAATGATGAACGACTTGGATCGTTCAACGAAATGAAAAATCTATCGTTTTTTAAATACAAAAATAAACGAACTATTTAAAATCTTTCAAACAATCTTAATCATTCAATAAATTTTTCTGAATTGTTTGTTTTAACGAACTTAAAAACGTTTTTTTTTGAACTGAACGAACGGTTTTATTGAAATAACGATTTTCCTGAACGACAGGTTTGTGAGAAAAAAGAACGAAAAAGATAAAAAATAATCGAAAGTTTTGAAAGAGAACCAAATCAATTTTTTGATTCAGGAACGATGAACAAGCGAACTGAATAAAGCCGAACGCGTCCATCTCTGCCTGTCAGTCATTAAACGGCACATTAACATGTTTACTCATCCCTATTCCCCTTTATATAGTTTATCACACATCTCAAATCACAGCTGTGATATTTCATGCAAATCTAGACAGAAGGAAAAGGCCCTAGGTGTATAATTACTAGCACGACTTTATAATCTTGAAGCTTCTAAAGTTCTGATTTGACATACAAGCATACTATTACGAACATTTATTTAATTACACACAAAAATATCTTAACTTTTTAAATTTTTCTCAATAACACAACAATAAAAAGATTTTTTTTATTAGATTTTCATAAATTGCGTAAATGACTTTAATTTTACGTTTTTAGTCATTTAAAATAAGATTTTTTTTCAGAGCTGGTTCACTTGACCAAGGCTAGACTCGAATATAACACAATGCCATTGAGCAGTATTCTTTTTCCAGATTTATTCAGGTTTTCTAAAATCTACTTTAAAATAAGAAGAATAAGGTATTTAGTTGGTCATGTCTTATTCTTAAAGAAACTAAGTCATTTGCTCAAATTCTGATTTTCCTAGCACTATATAAGGCTTTGTGACCAAATGTAATTTTGATTCTGTTCCCGCAATACGTTTAAATTTTACATATGAAAGGTTAAACCATGGGTTTGCAAATATATAAAGATATAAGGATTATAAAATTGGAGTTTGTTCCTTTAATTTTCATAATTGTGTGATCAAGCTCAGTGAGGTCAGTATACCCTTTCTAAAATCCAGTGTTACCTACAAAGGATAAGACTTCAGAGACGACTGTACGGAATCTATAATGTCGGATTCCTTATATTTATAATTATTTGAAACTGTAAACTTTCTCCCATTGCCGAATTATTGAAGTTTCAGGTCGTCTTTACAGTCTCATAATTTGTGGATAATCCTTCATAGTCAATTGAGTGAAAAGCTTTAATCTGCAACCTTATATTTGCGTCTAATGGTCTGTGCTATATATTTAGGCATTCAAAAAATAAGAACTAATAAATTATTATAGAAACATTATAGGACAATTACAACAATTAAATAAGAAATGTTCTAAGATAATTAAGCAATATCTGGATATATTATTTATTTCATATTCACAAAAAATTTCCTAAAATTATTTTAGCAATTTAGTGATATTTAATATTCACTTATATTTTTCTAGTCGTGTTTATTAAATATAGTTATATATTTGATATTTTTTTTTTAAATTATTTTAGAGTTTTACTAGACTTTCAGGGCGATTCGAGCCCATCTTCTACTTCAACTGTAAACCTTTTCTAACTATTAACATTGTAAAACAAAAACAAAATTTAACGGATTTTATAAAAAAAATTTAGTGGATTTTAAAAATTTTATGGAAATTTAATTTTGTTGGAGGCTATTTTTTTTATTTCTATCATTCATAAACCTTATCTTGGGTCATGTGAGGTCATTTGAGCCGGATAGGTTTAGCCATTTTAACGTTTATTGGACAGATCGTTTTTCACTAATATTTCCCTAAAGTTATTTCATAAATATATAGTGCTATATTTAATATTTACTTATATTTCCCTAAAATAGGAATATGTACGGGAATCCTATACACACAGTGAGCATGGATTGGTCTATATTCATACAAATCAGGTAAAATATCAGGGTAGAAATCAGGGTAGAAATCAGGTTAGAAATCAGGTTATAAATCAGGTTATAAATTAGGGAAAAAATCAGGTTATAAATCAGGTTATAAATCAGGTTATAAATCAGGTTAGAAATCAGAGTAGAAATAAGGTCAGAAATCAGGTTAGAAATAAGGTTAGAAATAAGGTTAGAAATCGGGTTAGAAATCAGGTTAGAAATCAGGGAAAAAATCAGGTTAGAAATCATGTTAGAAATCAGGGTAGAAATCAGGTTAGAAATCATGTTAGAAATAAGGGTAGAAATCTGGTTAGAAATCAGGGTAGAAATCAGGGTAGAAATCAGGTTTTAAATCAGGTTAGAAATCAGGTTAGAAATCAGGTTAGAAATAAGGTAAGAAATCAGGTTAGAAATCAGGTTAGAAATCAGGTTGGAAATCAGGTTAGAAATCAGGTTAGAAATCAGGTTAGAAATCAGGGTAGCAATCAGGGTATAAATCAGAGTAGACATAAGGGAAGAAATCAGGGTAGAAATCAGGGTAGAAATCAGGTTAGAAATACTGTTGGAAAAGAAAAAAACTAAATTGTTTCATTACATATTGTCAAACCTAAAAAGGAGATTACCATAATAAACAATTCATTTTACGTTTTTTTTCTTCTTCACAACTATATGTTTTAAAATCGAGTAAATGAAGTGTTTTAAAATCCATTTAATAAATTCAAGCAGGACATTACAGTTTGGGAACTCTAACACTTTCTCGCTTTGGAAAGCGTATTTTACCTATTATTATCATCATTATTATTATTGTTATTATTGTTATTATTATTATTATTATTATTATTATTATTATTATTATTAATTATTATTTTTATTCTAATTACAGTGAAAACCAGAACACGGTTTTTGGACTCAAGTTATGACTTTCAATTTTCTTAATTGTCTAATAAAACTATTTTTGCTCTTTTTAACAACATCTAAGTATTGCTGTAAAGTCGTCTTCATATTTCATAGTTATCTGGTTATCACTATATTATAATTAATATGATGATACAAAAACAAACTATAACAATCGATTGTAGAAGAAAAAAGAAAACAAATTTACAAAAATAGTTATTATAATACCTTTATTACTACAGTAGAACACCAAAAAAACTGTAAAGTAGGAATACGACTCTTAGACTCAAGTTATATTTTCTATAGTCCATGAATATGAAACACACTATTCACTCCTGTATTCCGAGTCCATTAGCGCCTCATCCAATCAGAGTTCAGTCATGTGTTTGGTGTCTATTCTGAACCAATAGAAATTGCATGGCAGAATCATCTTTCTCATCATCCAATTAAAGATGGATCTTATATCGGGGCTAAACAGTAAATGGAAATATTTACTTCTACTGAAACTACAATGTATTAGGGCGGACCTTTGTTCCTTAGTAAGATGATTTTCAAGCTAGGGGTAAAAACTATTTTCTTTGTAACAACATCAAGTACACTATAAAAGATTATTTAATGTCGTCTTCATATTCCACAAGTTTACGGTTCCCACTGTATTATTAGGAAAACATCTGCTGGGTTTGAGTTTGCTGACAGTATGGGAGAAAGGTTTATAAATATAATAAGTAAGAAAATAAACTGCAGTTTTACAGCTAGCAGACCTTCAGACGGACTCTGGGGGTCATTCGTAAACGGGTCTTTTACAGGTTAGTGGCCGTTCAATTTAAGGGACTGTAAATGTAATTGATTCTCCATCTTAGTATACTTAAGGTATTTACAATGGTTCCCTTGATTTGCTGATGTTTGAGAGATCCATAATCTTTTCTTTGAAAATCGTTGATTATTTACTTTCAGGCTTGGGCTCTCTACAAAGCTACAGGGTGTCCCTTCAATGTCTTCTTCCATAATTTGATAAGTTGTTTGATTTAGTATCAAACTAATAACATTTTTTATATTAAAGTAAAATTGATTTCAATGTAAAATATATATGAGTTAAACATATTTTTTAAAGAAAAAAACTGTAAAAAGTCTTTATGATATCTAATACAGTATGTGGAAGAAGACATTCAAAACTATTCACCAATTGTCATGTTTCGTGAGACACCCTGCAGAAACAATGAAGCACAACCAAAGAATACTGTTGTCAATTTAGATTAAGAGTTTCTTGTGCCAACGATTCTTTTAAAATTGTGTTCTTGAAATATTATAGTAACTCGAAAGAAAAGTTTGTGATGGAAAAACTTTAAAGTCTTTTAATTCTAGTTAAAACTTACATTGGATTTTAAGAGGGTAAAGGGGAGTTTTCGTTTTACTGCAGACACAGTTAGAAAGTCCCATTTTCCGTCAGAATTGTTGCCGGCGGAAATTGAAAAAGATGACCTGGAAAATGGAATTCGGGTCGGGTTAATTTTCCGCCGGAAGCCTTAACCCTTATTCCTGCTGGGGGGGGGGGGGCAAATTGAGCCCCCCCCCCCTGTAGTTTTTTTACATAACTTAAAAAGTATTAGTCTGAGGCTGTTGAAATTTTCTGAATTTTCCTGCATACCCAAAGCCCTCCCTTTAGGCTAAAACTGGGCTTTAATACTAACTGCCTGAGTCCTCAGGCACACTGCCTGAATGACTGCTTCTGTAACAAACTAAATCTTTGTTTTGACCCACTTCCACTTGTCAGATTTTGATAAAATTTAGCTTTTTGGAAAACCTTTGACATAAGGAAACGAATTGCACAAGTTTTGCGAAAAAAAATTGCAAATTTTTTGCAAACAACCTGTTAAAGGAAATTTGCACATTTTTAGTTTTTCTTGATTAAAAATCAGGTTATTTAAAATTTTGCAAAAATTTTTGCATATTTGAAATGGCATGGTCAAGGGCTTTTCAAAAATGTATAATTTATTTTAATTTTTTGGACAAATTATTTTGCAAACATTTTTCACTTTAAAACTGGATTTTGCGATTAAAAAATTCAATTTTTGCAAATTTGCAAATTTTTTTGCAGATTCTAAAAGTAGAGCACAAGAGCTTTCCAATGATGTATCATTTGTCATATTTGGACATCAAACATGGGATTTAGAGGGGGGGTCAAATTGACCCCCCCCCCCCAGCATATCCTGGTTTTTAAGTACCCCAGAAAAAATAGGGTTAAATTCCGGAAAATTTTCCGCCGGAAAAGATTTTCTATTAATTTTACTATGTTTATTAACTGACTTAAGTAGTTTATTAACTGACTGTATTTTGTTAGAAAGACTCCAGACTTTGATTGAATATTTTTAATGAAAAGTAAGATTTAAAGGGACTGTAGGAGTAATTTTAAGTAACCCGTCATACAAAGATGACAATGCCCGATTCCCATCGGTACCCTTGAAATTTTTATCCGATCAAGAATGTGGATGACGTTGTCGTTGTTTCAGGGTTAAAAGTGCTTAATTCTAAGAATTCATATACCTTTTCTTGCAGTAGAAATGCGCAAGTCATGTTTTCGAATTTATAAACATTGATATCTAATTTATACTGGATCAGACTCTTTGAATGGAATAGTCACTGAAAATTACGCTTACAGTACCTTTAAAAAGTTTACCAAACCTCTATACTAGGTGTAGTTGGTGAAGTAGAGCGGGGACAAGCAGATCTTACATTTGATCTCAGCATAACTTATCAAAGGTTGGACAAAACTCGGAAATAATCGGATTCAAAGTAAAAATTCATTGTAAATGTTGGTTTCGTAAGATATGTAAAATTTAAGTAAGGATTTGGTGAGAACAAAATTATATCTGTTTTCAATAATAACTACTCCTATATTGAAGTCATATTGAGAAGAACAAAAATGTTTTAATTCTTAATAATTCCTAGATAACTTTGCTTTTCTCATTACTCGTGTATAGAATCAAAACTAGAGGAGATCACACAGTTGTAATAGTAATGTTAAATATATCTGATAATTTCCATTAGTCTAGTTCAAAGTGATTGAAAATCGCAGAGTGTATTAAATGTCCCAAAAATAACATGCTAATAATAAGATGATTTTGAGATCGCGGTTTTTAATTTTAGTGTGGTGATGCAGTATTAGGTCACACAGTTGTAGCAATAATCTAATAATTTCCCTTAGTCTAGTTCAAAATGTCTGAAATTCACTAGAGTGTATTAAATGTCCCAAAAATAACATGCGATATAAGAGACGATTTTAAGATTACGGTTTTCAATTAAGTTTGGCGATGCAGGACTAGAAATGCTACTTATCTGTCGAATTTATTCTTCACTTTGATTTTGTCTGCTTATGTTTTGCAGATTTTAAAAAAGCAGCCTTTTCACGTTTACACAAAATGTATACTTTAGCAGACGTTTATCTGTAGAATTTTTTCATCTGCTAGCGTTCAGATTTTGTCTGCTTATGTTTTGCAGATTTAAAAAAAGCAGCCTTTTCACGTTTACACAAAATGTATACTTTAGCAGACGTTACCTAAATTTTTCTTTTGAAATTACGTATTAGAAGAATTAGAATGTTAATTCTTAAACGACGAGTTCGAATTCGTCATCTAATTTTCAGGTGCATGGGAAACCCTTTCAAAACAGGTTTTCTATAATTACCTAGGATGTATATTTTTAAGAATGGGGGTGGGGGGGAGGAATACAAAATTGGAGTTTTTCTTTTTCATACTTTTTACAAAAACCTTAATAAATCATACATAATATTTTGGTAAAAAAATGAATCTTATTGGATAGGGGGTAATTATTTTCAACAAAATATACACCCCTACAATAAACCAAAAATCAAATGGCAGCTATATATCCCATCAATAAGAAGAAATTAGTGAGAGATAATTCTAACAGAATGTTAGATTGGTCGAACAGGTTCTGGTCAATTTCGATAAATTTTCCCGAACAGTTCAGTTCGGTAACCTTCAACAGCAAAACCAAGATATTTATAAGTGTCCTTTGAATAAAAAAGTTGCTTTTATTATTATTTGATTTTATAATTTACATTGCTCAGCAAATAAACGTTGTACATTTTTAATGAACAATTTTTTTTTCAATAATACGGATTTTTTAAATTAAATCGAAAAATATATACTTTTTCTATTAATAGGAACGAAGTGGTCGACTTTCCAGATTCTATCAGGTTCTTTTTTAAAACATAACCAAGCATAGGAACTTATGATGGGGGATTCACATGAGATCGTAACTTTTATGTAGATATCTCGATATCCAATTCTGCAATTCTCGATCCCTTAGTTAAAGATATCCCTGCAAGGTATGAAATCATATCCCTGCAGGGTATGGATATCCCTGCAGGGTATGGATATCCCTGCAGGGTATGGATATACCTGCATGGTATGGATATTCCTGCAGGGTATGGATATTCCTGCAGGGTATGGATATTCCTGCAGGGTATGGATATTCCTGCAGGGTATGGATATTCCTGCAGGGTATGGATATCCCTGCAGGGTATGGATGTCCCTGCAGGGTATGGATATATTCCTGCAGGGTATGGATATTCCTGCAGGGTATGGATATTCCTGCAGGGTACGGATATCCCTGCAGGGTATGGATATTCCTGCAGGGTATGGATATTACGGGTTATTGAAGAGGCATAAAATTGATCCGTAGCTAGATCTGCATCATATTATGATCAATGCCTGATGAGCGGGGGAAGGCAATCGGCCATGAGCCACCACAATTTCCCCTTCCGTACCACCACATTTGACTCTTCCGGGTCAAAATTACTTTTTTAAATGCTATATTTAGGGCCTTTAAAGTGTGATTTTAAAAAATCCAGCCGCGTCACGCAAAAAAGCACAACTCAAACCATTTTTTCGATTATACTTGAGATTAATATTTTGTGTGTTGAATTCTTAAACTGTTTTACAATGAATTTTTTGACAAAGGAATTGAGTCTTTGTCACAAACTCTGATTTTCTAATCACTAATTCTTTGGAACCAAATGTTGTAGACCATACATATTTCAAACTATGAATTCTGTTAAATCAAATAATCAGAGTTTGAAATATCAAAGGTTTACAACATCGGGTTCTAAAGATATTGGGGTTTAAATATTTGATTTTGTTGCAAAGACTCAATTCCTTTGACTGAGTATTGCATCTTGAAATATCACAAAGTCTAATGATTATTCAATTACTGACTCATTATACCATCTTAAAATCACTCATTATACAACTTTGTGATATTTCAAGATGCAATACTCAGTCAAATTTGTCAAAAATTCCTTCCCCCGCTCGCCTGATCCCAAGGTTTACAACACAAAGCTTCTGGCTTCCGTACAGAAAGTCTCAATATCTATGAAATCTTTACTTTGTGCTAATACATTGAAGAAAAAAATCCAAAAATGCTCAAAGCCTCCGAATAACATTACACCTTTTTATAATCGCAAATTCCTTTAAGCATTGACAAATTATTTAGTTTACAATATAGAACTCGAGACCACCGAAAGAATTTCGAAATAATGAATATTTTGTTGGAAATATTAGAAATATAAAATTTGCATTACATTCTGTTAATCATTTTGTGATAAATAATCGTACTTTGGAATTGTTTTCCGTTAGTTCGACATTGCGGATAAAAGAAATTGCGTCTTTCAATTTCTATATTTTTGTTAAAAACCTTTGATGTTTCGATTAATAAATCTAGCAGAAACATAATTCATAGTTTGACATATATAAGGTCTAAAGACATTGTGTTGAAAAGGTATAGGGATTAGAAAATCTGAGTTTGTGACTAAGACTTAATTCCTTTAAAAGATTTTTTTGACAGTTTTCTTTCATTTTTATTTTTAGAGGAGATCCTCTGACATTTGCAATATCTACCCCACTTCCTCTACCTCAGTCACTCAGCGTAGTCAGGGAACAGTCATATTTAGTGAAGAGTTGGTGACAACTTAAAGAGAGTGTTTGCGAAAAAGGGGGTAAAGTCAGTTATACAATTGATATTTCATATTTCATTTAAAGGGACCGCCGTTTAAATTTTCATAAATAACCTTCAATTCTGGCCGGTTTACAAGGGTACCCTTGTAACCTTGATAAACATAAATATCTTAATCATGCAAGTTTTCATGTAAAGCTGTTAGAGGATAACGTTGTGAATCGGACATGACACCCATACACTGGAGAATCACTGGGTTTACAAAAATATTATCCTTTTTTATTAAATTTAATATAATATTTCTTTTATAAACATTTCATGAAAAATCAAATTTTCCTTCATTGCAAATGTTAGGAATTCTATATTTTAAAAGTTGGGAACTGTTTCTACGTCAGACCGTTTCCGAATCCAGTTTTGTGGATTTTTATCATCATTGCTTGTGCTGCGACAGGTAGAGTTAATGGCCATAGTTACTTGGACTGCAGACATTTTTAGTGAACCTATATACGTAGAGGGTCTAGTACGATTCATTATTGATATTTTAGTGACCCTGTATACGTAGAGGGTCTAGTACGATTCATTATTGATATTTTAGTGACCCTGTATACGTAGAGGGTCTAGTCCGATTCATTATTGATATTTTAGTGACCCTATATACGTAGAGGGTCTAGTACGATTCATTATTGATATTTTAGTGACCCTATATACGTAGAGGGTCTAGTCCGATTCATTATTGTATTACGATTACAGTTCTTCAGGAGACAATATTAAGAATAGACCTTTTTCATATTGTATTTTCTTTAAGTTTGCTTAATATCATTGTGCACAATTTTTACTTTAATCGTAAACATTTACGACCTTACAAAAAAGAAATATCAGATTTCAATTTTATTAACTGGTTTCGTTTTTTCATATTGGATTTGTATATTATTACAGTTACATAATACATGTTTTGTTCACAATTCAACTGATAAAAAATACAATTTAAAAAAAAATTGTATTTTTTCTAGAAACTTGACCTTTTCTAATCCCTGTATCTTTGCAACCCGCTGTCATAGACCTTAGATAATAAAAAATATATAATTTTATTAGATTAAATAATCAAAGCTTTAAATATCAAAAGTTTACACCAAAAGGTTGCAAAGATATACTGATTGTAAAATTGAAGTTTGTGGCAAAAACTTAATTCTTTTACTTCGTTATTGCTGACTTTTTCAAAAAATTAAATTACTCAAAAATGTAACAATACTTTGTCATTGTGTTATTGTATTTAGGAGTTTGCTTGTATATACTACAGAGAGTGTCTTCAAAAACACATCAAGGAATGTCAAAATCTGATTTAGCCATTGGAACTAATCTTCTTCTTTCCTTCAGGTAAAAAAATCAGCATTTTGAGATTTTTATTTTAGATTGTCAATCATCATTTTGAAACTAGAATAAAATTTCATTTTTCATTTCTATTAGCTTACTTTTGCAAAGCTGAGCATTATGTTGATATAACAATATGGGCAAAGCTGAGCATTATGTCGATATAACAATATGGGCAAAGCTGAGCATTATGTTGATAAAACAATATGGGCAAAGCTGAGCATTATGTTGATATAACAATATGGGCAAAGCTGAGCATTATGTTGATATAACAATATGGGCAAAGCTGAACATTGTGTTAATATAACAATATGGGCAAAGCGGAGCATTATGTTGATATAACAATATGGGCAAAGCTGAGCATTATGTTGATATAACAATATGGGCAAAGCTGAGCATTATGTTGATTTAACAATATGGGCAAAGCTGAACATTATGTCGATATAACAATATGGGCAAAGCGGAGCATTATGTTGATATAACAATATGGGCAAAGTTTGAAAATCTTGTTCCCTAATACTTACGTAGAGGGAGTGACAGCAATTATCAAAAATGTCAAAAATAGGAATTTCCCAAATGCCTGGGTATCTGGGAAATTTCTCAAATGCCTGG